TCTTTTGTATATTTTTTTTATTTATTCTATATACTTTGAATATGTTAACTACGATATATATATATATATATATATATATATATATATATACATATATATATATATATATATATATACATATATATTACAAATTAACTATATACGCACAAATAATACTAATTATTTGTTATTTATTTTTTCATATTATAGATTTTTTTTTAAAATAAAATAAGTTAGATAATGTTTTGAAAAAACCTTCTAATTATCCGAATATAAATTTTTATGCTAACATTATTAAATATTTTGTTAATAAATATATATAAATCAAATGATTTCCCTCAATATATAGATTCGATTTATATTAATCATCAAAAATAAAAATTTTATTCGCACTACATCATACAAATCGTTAACCTTACGTATGTAATAGTTTTTTTTTATTATAGCATAGCGTATGTATCTAACTAGTTTAAATTAAAAAAAATTAGGCTTTTTTTGACGATGGGTCCGGCCCAATGGGCTAGCTCGGTAGGCGAGCTTGCTTGCGGGCTAACTCGTCGAGCAAACCTTACGGGGTGGACGAGTCCGATCCTCCATCTTTATATTGCTTAACCCCAAATGACCAAAACCCATACCTTTTTACAACTTTCAAGCCGATCCTAAATGAAAATAAAAATCGATACCTCTCACTCCTTTCTCGCCTTTTCCATTTAGGGATGGCAATTGCTTCGTTCCGACGGAATCCCGCCCGACCTTGCCTTGATTTTCCTCGATCAACATGGGGATTCCCCACATTAATCGGGGAACGGGGCGGGGTGGGCACCGAGTGAGCGGGGACGAGGCGGGGATGGGATTTGCTCGTCCCGCTCCGTTTGCCTTATTTTTATCCTTTTTTTATTAAAATTATAATTATACCCCATATAAAATCTATGATTAATGACTTTTAGGGTTTATTTTCTATAAAAACTATATATATATATATATATTTTTACTATAGTTTGAAATTTGATAGTAGAATGGGATAAAAAAAAATAAAAAAAACTTGCCTTGTTTATGCCTCGTTTGCCCCGCGGGGATCCTCGTCCCCGTTTGGGGCGGGGCGGGATGGAAAATTCCGCCCCGTTCGAGGCATGGGGCGGGGATGGGGATGGCAATCCCCGCCCCACCTCGTCCCTCCTCATTGCCATCCCTATTTCCATTTATTTCGAAACCATCCGGATCGTGTAACTTTCTCTCCATCCTTTCCTTTTATTCAATTGTCAAACTTGCCCTATAGGCATAAGCATTTGCTTCCTTCACCCTTTCCTTAGTCGAAGTAATAAAGTAATGCACTCTTTTTTCTTCATCAACACCTATGACGAGTTATGTGGTCGGTAGTTTCAATCCAATCCGGATAGTGATTTGGTAAGTTTGGTTTTGTGGGTGTCGGGTGTGGTAAGTTCGGTGGGATGAAATAAAGTGTAGGTTTGTGTGTGGTTTATGTGAGGATGGTTTGGTGTGAATGATGATGGTGGTCAGGGTAGAATACATTACCCATGGGTAATGTGGTTGTCTAAAATGGGAGATGGCAATGATGGTGTTTTGGGGAGATATGCCCATTAAGCGTTTGAGTTTTTGCTTGTGAGAGGATAAATTTTGTTATTTTTGGTGAGGAGGATTATGGTTGCGTTGAGGCGGTTTGTCGATGGTGAATGAAGGTGTAGATGTTGACCGAATGAAGTTAAGGGCAATAGGGATTTTAGGTGGAGTTGTTGTTGTGTATAAAGGGAGCTTTGGCGGCAGCTAGGAGGAAGGTTGGTCTATTGGAGCTTGTCGTTCGTGCGTGCCTAGGCATTGCTTTGTTACTCGTCCGGGAGACTTGGATACTCCATCCAATAATGTGGAGAATGTGTACAAGGAGGTCTAGGATTATAGTAATCACTAAATTTACCATGGCCGCAGTAGGTTTGACATGGAGCTGAGTACCCAAAGTTGTTCACATAATGGCTAAAGTCTATAAACAAAACTAGATTTGGATGGATCAACGTGTACTTGAGGTGGAAGACCTCCAAAGCTTGGATGATAACGCCGCATGTGAGGCACTTAGTCTTTTACCATGGCGTGTGAGTCCATGTATCCGGTAGTGTTTAGCATGTTATCAACTATGCTAGCTACGATGATTTATTGGCAATGGAGGAGAGGGACAATAGGGTCGGCGAGGCTTGGTAATAGTTTTACTATGGTTGACGATAATGTGAGTTTGTAGGGGAGCTAGATTTGAGTCTCGTGATTGCGGGTCTCTCACTTTGATTTTTCCTAACAAACGAAGCTTCTTTTGTTGGTTTCGAGTGGTGCTTGACATATGGGAAATAAAGGTAATGGCAAAGAAAAAAAAAACAGCAAGGGTCGTTATGGCAGTGGGCTATAAGGGGTGATGTTCATTGTGTTGATAGTGGCTAATAAAGATGGATTTTTGGTGGAGAGTTTTTTGGAAATTGGGATGGTGAAGATGAAGGTCGGCCTTGAGGTGTGGCTATGGCGACCCTCCCGGTAGTGAGGGGATGCCTAGCTTTTATTTTTGGAGATTACATTTTTTAAGTTTTTCCGAGATTGGAGAATTGTGAAGGTCCTTTCGACCCTTTTGTGGCTATCTTTTTGTGACCCTCCCTCCCCATTCAAACTAGAATCCAAAAGCTTTCATCGGCCAAAAACTCGTTGAAATCTCTCCCAAAATCAGCCCATTCAAACTCAAATTTCAACTATCAAATCTCAAATTTGAGATTTGATTAGCTAAACACAAGGGAATGGATGAGTGTTAAATTCAAATTAAAAAAAAAAAACAAAAAGATTAGTAGAAGATTTAGACAGATTTTTGAATGATTTTGGAGAGATTCTTTATCTTATATGTATATTTTTACTTTTTTTCTTTTTTTTTTTAAAATAATTCAAATAAAAAATGAAAAAAAATAACATAAGAATTAAATAACAATAAAATAAGTATAGGGAAATTTTGGGTTATGACAAATGTGGAACCACAACAAAACAATATCAAACACCTAGCCAACTAATTTTAAGATCCCTTAAGTTGCTGAAAAATGTATGACAAGTACATGAATTGGATCGAATATTTATTCACACCCTTATAATATTTCATTTAATTCATTCATTAGTAAATGTAAAAATAAATTGTTGAAATTGAGAAATGTTATTGGCAATATGCCATTGACAATAGATGCAATTTTGGTTAAATGTTATTCTAAATTTCTCATTATAGTTCTGTTGGTAATAATGTATTGATGCAATGATAGAAGTAGAATGCAAAATAGTTAGAGATCATTGTGGCAATAATTATAAAGTAATAATAATTATATTGATTGCATGTGACAATAGTAGCATAAACGACGTTAACGAGATACTAGAAGTTGATTTTTTTTTTTTTTTGCTTATTACATTTTAAGAGTTTTTAGTTTTAGAAATTACTTATAATGTGTTTGATAAACTATTTAAATAGTTTAAAAAATTAAGTTGTAGTACTTAATATAAAAAAGTTTATTTGATAATCTAAATAATCTCATATTTAAAATTTAAATTTAGTCAAAATCTACTTAGTTTAGTAAATTAAAGTTTTTAACTTAAAATTTTTTTATTAATATATTTAGTTGAAAGATTTTTAAAACCTTTTCCTCATATGTTATTATAATCCTAATTATACAAACTGATTAAGAAATGATATCTACTATCCTTGTTGTATAACATAAACGATTTCTACTATTCACTAAAACAGTGCATCACTATTTGAGTATCCATTGAGAGGACTGGCCTCATGAAAAAAAGAGAGAAAAAATTGTTTCTGTATGTCACAATAAATAAATAAATGCAAGCCTAAGATGGTATCCTCTCAATGACCAAAAGCATCACATCAATAAACTCTTGCAGTTTAGTAGTCAGCTAGCCGGAATCTCTCTTCATTCTATGCTTCTCTTGCCATTCTTCAACAATGTCATTGAATTCTCTAAAATTTCTTTTCACAGTTTTTCATGTCCAGAAAGGCCCAAAGATGAAAGAATTCTCTCAATTGCCTTCAAAATATTTGCCTCTTCTTTCTCATCACCCTTGGGTCCTGGTACTAGCACCAAAGAATCTCTTCCATGCAATCATCAGAAGAATCAGATTGAACGTTAAGTCCTCAAACCATCTGTTTAACTCAACAAAAGCATGGCCAAAGCAATTGGTTTCTCTGTCCAGATACCATGTAATTGCTTTAGAAAGGTTTCCACTTCATGGATGAGAAAATACCTAAGTAACTCAATCAATTTATTAATAATTATTTTTATTAAATTATTTATTTATACACAAAAACATATATATATATATATATATATATATATATATATATATATATATATATATATATATATATATTTGTGTTAACAATATCATAGTACAATTATAAGGTTAAAATTTTCATGTTTATAACCTTAATATGTTTAATAATAATATTTATCAAACAACATTATTATATTCAACATTTAATTTTCAATAAATATCAAATATCTTGTCAGTAAGTATATTCGGTACTTAATTTTTTAGAATTTAAAATTCAGCACTTAATTTTTAATTTTATTAAACACCACCTTAGTTTTTATGTTTTAAATCTAATCTGAACTTCATTATTTTCATTCATTTTATGTTTTTTTCTAGTTAACTTTTTTTTCAAGAATAGAAACGAAGAAAAAAATAATATTGAAAAATTAAGGAGAAAAAATATACTTCTTGAAATAAAATAATATTAAATTAAACATAATTAATACCCTTAAAAAAACCAATTAATTATTTTTAAAACTAAAAAGATTTATTTAATTCGTTTAGAAAAGCTAGAGAGACTAATTTATAATTTACTCCATGACTTGCTAAACAAGTCAGTCGCCTGAAAGAAATTCTAAGATGACAGAATCTACGTCGTCATTTCAGCACAGCAAATACAAAGACAGAACACAGACAGAAGAGAAGAGACGACGAGAAATCGAAGAAAACAAGAAAGAATGGAAGCACCAAAGACAATCGAGCATCAAATTGGCGAAGTCCATGATTCTCTTCGATTCGGCCTTGATGCCAAGAGAGGCAACATCATTGGATCTCACCCACTTGAATCTGTCTTGCTCTCTGTAACGATTCCTCTTCTTTTCTTGTTTTTTATGGATTGAAATCGAAAGAAATTATGTTAATTTTGTAGCCTTTTTGCTCTATGTTTAGTATCTGTTATGGAATGAGCATGATAATGGGGTTTAAGGGTTTTGTCTGAAATATTGTTGAAATTAAAGTTGGTTTCTTTTTCTTTAAGAAAGTAATAATTTGGGGATTTTTTAGGTGGAGAGAAATCAAGATGACATGAAGAGAATAACACTTGCAAACGTTTATGGCGCAGCTTTTCCGGTTCAGATGGATATGGAAAGGCAGATTCTTTCTAGGTATGTGTTTTTGGCTGATTGATTATATGTTGAATAAAATAACCTGCTGTTTATGATTTCTTGTTGGTTTTTTTAAAAAAATATTAAAAGAATTTTTTTATTATTATTATTTTTTTTGTGAATTTGGGTTTTAATTGTATCCTTAGCTTTTCTTTTCTTTTTATTTATTTATTTATTTATTTATTTATTTATCAGAAAAATGCAATGAGATTGTGTTTTATTTTACAGATTAGGGGAAATTTAGCTCAAGTGCTTTGTTTACAGGAGCTACAGACTTTAGATCATGAATATAAGCGCATAAAGGCTGAAATGGGATGGATCTTGCTTAACATTGCTTTGCGTTTTAGTTGTTCGAAGATGCTTATTGTGTAGTGATTGGATGTCAACTATAAGGTTTGATATTTGAACATTTGCCAAAGAAAGTAGCAATTAGTATGGAGTTGTTATTTTCACATATAGTTTGGTTGTTGGTAGAGGTCTGTCAGGGTGCCATGGTACTACAATAAGAACCATATTAGGTAGGAGTGTTCAACTGGCGTAGATTTCAGTAAGTAGTTAATGTGAATTTGGATTATCTGCACTTCAATCCTTCCCGTTTGGAATTTTTTAATGCTGTCTGTGGTGTCATCCTGGGCTACTACTCGGTCCAAGGGGCTTATAGTTATTATTAAAAACTACATGTTCTTGACCTATCGTTACGATTAGGAATTAAGAGTAGCATGTTCCACATACTATTTCCACTTCTGCTGCTGAAAAGGATGCTTCGACATGAGGCATGAGAATATTACTTATTCTCAAATTAGATCATAGAAGTTCATTCATAACTTGCACATGTGCATGTTTCATCCCAATTTTGTCTGCAAATTTGCTGGGGCTTCTTCTTCTTTTGCTGTGGTTCTCCACTCACACATACACAAATGCCCTCATGCACACATAATATATTTAAAGTTTTACACTTGTCAGATTGTGCTGCTATTTTTGCATTATTTATCTTTCTTTGTGAACTTTGCAGATTCCAGAGGCCACCAGGACTCATGCCATCTTCAATGCTCGGAATGGAGGCTTTGACAGGAACTTTGGAAGATTTTGGTTTTGAGGATTATCTGAATGGTAACTAGTATTTGCTAAACACAAAAATGTTATTTTCAATTTGATAGTATTTGATTTTCCTATAAAGCTGCCTGTGCATTTTGAGTTGGTTAGATTTTGAATTCACACTTAACTTTTCATTTCAATAAAGTCTTTGGAAAATCATCATCCTCATTCATAATGATCAAAGGTAGGTTGACTTTCTTTCATTGGATTTTAGGGTTCTGCAGCTGGTAAAACTGTCAATGAAGGCTAATGATCTTACACGTAATTTTGGGGAATGATTAATTTCACTTGCATCATGTATCATTTGCTTTTTGATAATCATGTTTGTTTTGCACTTTGATTACAGATTGTGTTCTCAATTCGGGGTTTTGAGGATAGGGTGTAATTATTTTGCACTTTAATTACAGATTGTGTTCTCAGTTTGGGGCTTCAAGGATAGGGTATAATTATTTTGCACGTTAGTTTGTGTAATAGATAAATTGTAATTGGTAAAAACATTCTAAACGTGGTCTGCATTTTTTTTTTTGTGAACTCCTCCTGATTTGGTCCTGATAAAGTACCTGGTAAATTTGGCATATGCTTTCAGATGAACTGTTATCTCACGTAGGTTTTTGCTTTGACTTCTACTGATGAGTCTTTTCTGGGTTGATACTTGCAGATCCTCGCGAGTCTGAAACTTTCTGTCCAGTGGACATGCATAGTGGGATGGAAGTTCGTCTTGGAATGTCGAAAGGACCAGCCTGCAAAAGCTTCATGTGATCTGATCGGCATTTCAGCATTGCCGCTGATTATGTGTTCTCGAAATGATTTGGTTAAGACATAGGAGTAATTTCTATGATGAATTTGGCTGTTTTAATGAACATCAAACTCGTCTATTTTATGATAATGGCTTCCTGATTTGTTGTTCTTAATTTATCTATCATCACTATCAATGTTCTTAGATTATCTGTTCTACTAATAATAGTGATCCAAAACTAATTTTCCTGCAAAACCAACATGTTGCATTCCGTATGAATCCTTTGAAGAACTCGCCTCCTGTTATATCATCTCTGCAGTAGCAGCTTGCCTTGCTTTCATACCTGCTCATCATATTATTATAATGTGCCACATTTGAGGTATAATTTGGTTACAACTTCCCATCAGGAATGAAGGAAAGTTTGTGGTCTGCTTTAGCTTCATATGATTCCAGCATTTTAGCAACTCCTCATGAGTAGAAAACAATTCTCTCTTCATGCCTCTTGTTAGTTTGCACCTCTCCTGGACGTATCTTCTGGTTATTATACATTAAATGTGAATTAAACAATTTTAGGTAAATATACAAACCGGAATAACTTCTATGATATCGTTCAGTCTACACAATGTTGTCTCCTGTTTTTGTGTCTTGTTCTCTTATATATACCTGCTATCCATGATCTAGGCTGCGTTTGAATACATGTAGAGCTGGATCGTCATGGAATATATGGCAGTTATTAATGAAGCTTTAACAGGGATATTTTCTGTTGTTCTGCAGTATTAGAGCTTGGTGGAAATTTAGGTCATCAGTAGTTTTAGTTTTATTTGATTTTAGATCTATAAATTTGGAGGGTTTATTCTTAATGAGTTAGGAGTACTCTTTAGTCTTGTCTTTTTCTTCGTGGCATTTAGTTTACCTTCCATGCTTCTCACAGTTATTTTGAGAACAAATTCTTTTCTAAGTGCGCGAATTTCTTAGTGGTGTGATTCCATTAAAAATGTCCCTCTCTTTTACATGAGTCTTGTAATAGGAGTTAGGGAGGCTCTTAAGATTAAAACGCGTTCCCAGCAGAATCCACTCATCATTTCTACCTCTTAAGAACCTAATTTCAAACCAAAAACTCTTTTATTATAAATCCCCGAACCTCCCAAATACTACCAGCTATATATTTATTTACTAGTGTACATGTTGTTATCGTCTGTCAATATAAGTTACTATTGACTCGGATAATTTTGTGCTTCTAGGTTCCTTCAACGGGTGTGCTGGTCATAGTTAGGGATGGCAATGAACGGATACCGAGCCTATTAATCAATTTTTTTATCTTATTTATAAAAAATATATTATACCCATTATCTATTAATAAATCACCATATAAAACTTTATCCACCTATATAAATTTACTCGTCCATTTAGTGTTCTCTAAAAATTATTTATCAATTTATTTTATTTTATTTTAGTCCACATAATTTTTAAAGAAATTTTTTGGACTTTAAAATTATTTTTTTTTTTTGCATTTCGATCCTTTATTTATTAGTTTTTAGTCGTCAAATTTTTCAAAAAAAAAAAAAATTAGTCCTTAATTTTTAAATTTTATGCAATTAGATCTCTATATGTTAAAAACAATCAAAATAAATTAGTAATTATTAATATGGTAAAAAATAAGTATCCATATCCTGAAATTATATTAGAGTAAATATACTTTTTTACATATTAAATATTTTTAATGGATATTTGTTGAATTAAATAAAGTTCATATCCACTTTATACATAGTCCATTTGTTATCTTTTAGTCATAGTGCATGAATTATATCGAAGGGAACAATTGTGGGCATAGATGCCATGCAAATGGATCATCAAGTTTCCTCAAAATTTTAGCATGCAACTGGAGCTGCAAGACTACCAAAACTTCTAGTCAATGGATGTCTTTTCCTCTCTTGGCCACAACTGACGAATAATGCTTTTAAGCACTGGTCTCAAGACGTATCTCTGTTTGGTTTACCACTAGGAGCTAGTCTAAGGCATATCTCTACTTGGAAGCTTGTGCTAGACAAGATGAGAAGTTGCCTCTTATCATGGAAAGGAAAGCTTTTATCCTTGGGTGGAAGAATTGGTCTCATTAAAACAGTCCTCTCAAGTATTTCTACATATTACCTTTCTCTATTTAGAACACCTAAAGGTGTCGCGAAAAAGCTTATTTCTATGCAGCAGTGTTTCTTATGGAGTGGAGGTTTAGACAATCGAAAAATTTACAAGGTGGCTAGACTAAAAAGAAAAGGTGGGATAGGCATTGATTCCATAGCAGGGAAGAATAAGGCCTTGCTTTTCAAGTGGATATGGTGTCTTAATGGGAGTAACTCTTCATGCTAGCAAAAATTCATCCTTCAAAAATACAATCCAACATATAGGAATGGTCTCCCTTATTTTACAAGTATCTTATCTTCTTATTGGAAAGATATCTCGCTCGGCTTACTCAAGTTCAACTCCTTGTAGTCATGGTATCAAAGAAAGGATTCGTTTCAGCATTGGCAATGGTAGATCCATCGTGTTTGGGAAAGATGTGTGGGCAAGTAGCACAAATCTCGGCTCAACTTTTCCGAGTCTATACGGAGTTAGCTACTGAAAAAAATTGCAAAGTTTCGGATATGGGAGATTGGTGTAGTTTAGGTTGGTTTTGGAAATTCAATTGGAGAAGGGAGCTTCGTGATTGGGAGGTTCAAGAAGTAAAAAGGCTACAACATTTAATTTCAAATGTTCACTTGAATCTAGGTGTTGATGATAAGAGGATCCGGGCTTATGACATAAAAGGCTTATATGCTATCAATTCTTGTTCTTCAGCTCTAGATTCGATTTTGCTACATGGAGACTCACATCTAATTTCTTATGTCCGGAAAGGCTTAGCTTCTCCAAAAGTATAAGCTTTTTTTCGGTTAGCGACTCATTGTAAATTATAGACAAGAAATTTTCTTTCTTGTATTGGTCTAGTGGAGTATTCGATCGACTTGTGTCCTTTCTATAATGAATTTCAAGAATCTATGTCTCATCTTCTTCTCTATTGCCATGAGATTTGGTAGTTTTGGTCTAAAATCTTTTCTTTGGTGGGGTTGTTTATGGATTGTCCCTAAATCTGTGGATGATCTTTTTCAATGGTGGAGTTTTTATGTTCATGGGCTTTTGCAGAAGAAAGTTTGGTTTCTTGTTCTCTATTCAAGTCTATGGTCGATCTGGCTAGTGCGAAGTAATCTTATTTTTAATAGTACCACTCTCGATTCGAACAACTTTCTTTCTTTAGTTTTCATAGAGTGGCGCGTTGGGCTATATATATTGATGATCATTTTGTCTATTCCGAAAATGATCTTTTAATTAGCTCAAATAAAATCAAAAGATGGATAAATACTTCAAAAACCCGTAGATTGAGCTCTTTGAATAGATAGTTTTTTTTTTTTTTTATTGTTATAGTCTAGTTTTGTTTTTTTTAGAAAGGTTGTTGTTTAGTTTATCTTCTTATTTGTATTCTAAACTCGTTACTATAGCCATTTTCTTGCTGGCTCTTTTCCTTTTTATATATTGATCGATTTTTATAAAAAAAAGCACTAGTCTCAAGAATCAAAACGAGTATATAGTATTCTTTTAAGCATAAGTATAAAAACTACATATTAAGCTAATTCACCTTTAAACTTATTTTTTACAAAAATTACATTCTACTCTCAAAAGTTAAACAACGAAATTTTTTTTAGTATACTTTTAATTGCTTTGCTTAAAAAAAAAAAACACATAAAAGTCAGAAAAACATTTGGAATACGGTGTAATTTATACTTTGCTAAAAACCCTTCAAGATTATTCTTATTTTTTATTTAGTTATAATTAGCAAGCTAGCTCATGTGCGGCTGCAGATCCATTTATAAAAAAAATATTTTAACCTTTTTAGTTAATTCATATAGAACATAAATATACTTTAATTAATTTTAGTCAATATTTATTTTTGTTTGTAATATCATTAAATAAAAAATTTCATTGATCTATCTTCATTAACTCAATTTCATGAAATATTTTTTCTTTAGAAAATTTCACTTCATAAAGTTCATATTAAATATATTATAGAAAATAATGTCTTTTGAAGCATTTATTTTCTAAATTTTGGAAGAGAAGTTGATTTTTCTAAATTCATTAAAAGTTCAAGTTTAAAATTGATGTCATACATATTGAAGGAAAGGACACTTTATTGCTCTAAGTTATGAACTATTTCTTTCCTACGTTTAAGTTGTGAAGTCAATTTTTTCAAACACTGACTTTTTTATCGCTCAATTACATTTTCAATGAAAATTATGGTCATAGCATTAAGGTGAAAAAAATTAAATAAATATTTTTTTAATTGATAATAATATTATAATTCAAATATTAAATTACTCAATATTTTATAGATAAATGAAAAGTTAATTATTTTTAATATTCAAGGGTTAATGGCTTCATAAATTGTCAACAATTTTCTCCAGAGATTAATGTGACTAAGATTTGAATAAATTTTTTATTTGTTAATTTCTAAATTAATTTGAGATTTCATTTATCTTTTACATTAATGATTAACTAAAATTAGGGTTTTTCTCACATTTAGATCTTATACTTTTCGAATTATTTTGATTGAGACCCTCCTTTTTTTTTTAGTTTGATTGAATTCTTCTATTTTTTTACTTTAGACTCTCGGTTATAATGTCAATATTGTTAATGATTGACACGTGATACTCTAAAGTAAAAAATCTCAAAGAATGAGGTGATATATCGATCATTAATTGATGGTATAATTAAGTAGCAATTGCCAAAAGAAATCCAACCACTAAGATAGTAGTGGCAATTGGGAGACTTCTTCATCTTCTTCGTTCCATGGTATCAGTGGCTTGACTTCGCCGGCAATTGAGAGACTCATTCCATAACATTAGTGGCTCTTCGTTCCATGACATCAGTGGCTTGATTTCATTGGCAAATTGGCAGATCAACTTCTTCATCTTCTTCATTCCATGGTATTAGTGGCTTGACTTCATCGGCAATTGAGAGACTCATTCCATAACATTAGTGGCTCTTCATTCCGTGACATTAGTGTTTTGATTTCATTGGAAATTGGGAGGTCGACTTCTTCATGTTCTTCATTCCATGGTATTAGTGGCTTCACTTCATTGGCAATTGGGAGAATTCTTCATTCCGTGACATTAGTGGCTGGACTTCATTTGTAAGTGGGAGACTTCTTCATCCTGGATATACATCATCCCATCAATATTTATCATGTTACATTTTTCTATGTATGTGTTTCTAGGCTTAATGTAATAATTTAATATTTTTTTAATTAAAATGATTCTTTAATAAGATATATTAGAGTTTTATCAAATGATTATGAATTCAAATTTTATTCCCTCAATTCTTCTCTAATTAAAAATTAAAATTTCAGCACAAAAAAAAGGAGTTTCACATGCATTTTTTAAATCAAATTTAGAAATAATAAATCAAATATATAACAATTATTAAATTTAAATCTAAAAAAAGAAACATCATTCATAACGTGCAGTATCAAGTGTACGTGAAGGACATGACACTCAAATGCATGTTCCATTGGTCGATAAAAATGATATCAACTTAGTTTTTAACCTCTACATATAAAATGGGCAAATCCCATATCGCTGTTTCATTTTCGATCAATGGAATTGGACAACCAATTACTTCATCAGGACAATGAAATGATCGATAATGGAAATCTATCTAGTCACATACCATTTATGAATTTTATTTTATTTTGGTTTTAACGATTAACGTATGTATGTTGGATGCATGTATAAATAGTAAATATTTTATATTAAAAAAATCAATTCATCGATAAGATAAACTCATAACCTGTTAATTTAACTTTTTAGGCTAGAGATGGAATCCATCTTTGTTTGTAAATCTTTACACATCCAAACATAATGCAAACACGAAAATTCTGAGAGAATATAAAAAAACTATGGACTTAACACAAAGACATGTGCATTCATAATATAAAATTTTTTCATCAATCCCCATCATTATCTCCATCAATTTCATGATCAATCGTTGAGATGTAGACATACAGTTGCGTGTACCAACCATATATCGCTGCCTTTAAAAGCTCATCTATCTTTTTTCTTACCTATCAGAGAGTGATAAACAAAGTTAAACAGACAATATGGAGCCGTATTCCTTGTTTCAATTCATGTTCATAATTAGTTTGGTCTGCTCACCTTCATTGTTCCATGTTTTAGTCACTTCAACCTCTATTTCTAGCCGTCCTCCTCTGTGCCATGGTGATGAGAGGTCTTCCTTGTTGCAATTCAAGAAGAGCTTATTCATTATTGATGAGGAGGCTTGTGTTCTCAATGATCCTTTCGCTTATCCAAAGATTGAATCATGGAATGTCCGAGGAGAACAAACTAGTACAGATTGTTGCTTATGGGATGGTGTTGAGTGTGATGTCATCACAGGTCACGTGATTGGCATTGATCTCAGTAGTAGTTGTCTCTTTGGGTCAATCAACTCCAGTAGTAGCCTCTTCCATCTGGTTCAGCTTAGTAAGCTTAACCTTGCCTGGAATCACTTTAATTACTCTCATATCCCTTCTAGCTTTGGCTATCTTTCTAAGCTGACTTCTCTTAATCTTTCCGGCTCTTTCTTTTCTGGCCAAATCCCATCCAACATTTCAGACTTATCGGTGTTGTCTTCTCTTGATTTGTCTATGAATGATAAGTTAAAGCTTGAGAATCCAGATTTTATAAGTCTGGTTCAAAACTTAACTAGCATAGAAGTGCTCCATCTCAATTCGGTGGATATATCATCCACAGTCCCTGATATCTTGGCAAATTCTTCTTTTTTGGCATCACTTGATTTGAAAGATTGTGGGTTATACGGCAAATTCCCTACTAGGATTCTCCAGCTACCTAAACTAGATAATCTTAGATTGAGCAATAACCCAAATCTCGAAGGTCATCTGCCTCAATTTTACTTCAACAGTCCACTTAGATTATTGTCGCTTTCCAACACGAGTTTCTCAGGTGAATTACCTGCATCAATTGGAAATCTAAATTCCTTGATTCACTTGTATCTTGGTGGTTGCAAATTTACTGGGAGGTTTCCGTCTTCTCTTGGAAACCTTACAAAGCTTGAAGTTATAAGCCTTTCACTAAACTCTTTTGATGCTCAAAATGCGTCTTCTTTGTTATGGGTTGGTAAGATGACCAAACTCACTAGTTTAGATCTTAACGCTGCCAATTTATATGGTGAGATTCCATCTTCACTTGCTAATTTGACGCAGCTTTCTGTTTTGTACCTCGCTATTAACCTATTGACAGGTCCAATTTTATCTTTGCTTCAAAACCTAACCCAGTTAACTGTGTTGGAGCTTTCATCCAATAGATTCCACGGTCAGATTCCAAAGTCAATCTTTCAACTTAAAAATCTTGAAGATCTTAACCTTCATACAAATGAATTCAATGGCATCGTGGAGTTAGATATGTTTCTCAACTTAAAGAAATTGCAAGCTTTTGATCTATCTTATAACAATATATCCTTGCTTGTTAATTCTAGCTCAAATGCCACTTTTCAAAAGTTTTCTTTCATAGGATTGGGTTTATGCAACTTAATGGAGTTTCCATATTTTCTACGCCACCAAGACAAGTTGGAGTTTCTGGACTTATCCAATAATAATATTGGTGGCCAGATACCCAAATGGTTCTTCAACATCAGTACAGATACTTTGATGTTTTTAAACCTTCAAAATAACTTTTTAACAAGTTTTGAAGGAAACCAAGTTGTTTTCTTGTGGGATAAACTATGCGAGATTCATCTTGACAATAACATGCTGCAAGCATCACTTCCACTTCCACCATCATCTATTGAAGTTTATAGTATTGGTGGTAACAACTTCACTGGAGAAATATCACCATCCTTTTGCAATCTAACTTCACTACATGTCTTTGTTGTGGATGACAATAACTTGAGTGGCAAGCTTCCTTCCTGTTTGAGCAACTCCAGTAGTTACATGGAGATGTTGGACCTCCAAAGAAACAACTTTTTCGGCATAATCCCTCAAACATTCACAAGAGCATGCAACTTGAAGATGATGGCGTTAAATCATAACCAATTAAAAGGGAGTGTACCAAGATCATTGGCCAATTGCACAACTCTAGAGTTCATAAATCTCGGAGCCAATCAGATCAATGATGTTTTTCCCTTTTGGTTAGGAGCACTTCCAATTTTGAAGGTTCTCATCCTTAGAGCCAACCAGTTCCATGGTTTACTACCAGATCACAAAACAAAGTTTGAATTCCAGAAGTTGCACATCTTTGACCTTTCTCGAAATAATTTTTCCGGAAAACTGCCAACAAACTACTTCCTGGATTGGATAGCGATGATGGAGATGGTGGATGGAAATCAGTCAGCATATATGGACACATCCACTAGTAAAAATTTTGATGGAACGGGCTACAATGTTGATGGCAACTATTCCTACTCAATGTCAATAACAAACAAAGGCAATGAACTCGAGTACGACCAAATCCTGGATTTATTCATGGCCTTGGATCTTTCATGCAACAGATTTGAAGGAGAGATTCCACAAGCCATTGGAAACTTGAAGATGCTTCATATGCTCAACCTGTCCAACAATATTCTCAGCGGTCACATTCCATCATCCTTGGGAAATCTTACACAACTTGAATCATTAGATCTTTCTCAAAATAATCTCTCGGGAGAGATTCCCCAGCAGCTGGTGCAACTTGATTTCCTTGCTATCTTCAACGTGTCTAATAACCGTCTTTCAGGATCTGTACCACAAGGAAAGCAATTTGACACATTCCAGAAGGAAGCATATGAAGGAAACCTTGGTTTGTGTGGGAAGCTTTTGCCAAAGAAATGCGAAAATTCCAAAGCTTTGCAACCAGCACCTTCAAGCTCCGAAGATGATCACGACTCGGATTCTCCATTTAAATTTGGTTGGAAACCAGTGGCAATAGGGTATGGCTGTGGGATAATATTTGGGCTTGTGATCGGCCATATTGTGACTGAATGGAAATATGATTGGTTTATGAAGACTTTCAGGATCAGACCAGGAAGAATGAAGAGAGGAAGAGGCGGCAGACGCAGAAACTGAATATATTAGCTAAGGTAATATATATATACACAGACCTCTTTCAATCTCTATAGCTGAATAATATTGTGAAAGAAACATCAGCAACATACATAAATGAATTAATTTATGTCCTTTTTTTTTTTTTTTTTTGGCTGTGCTTGCAGAGGTACTACTGCTGAGAAGTAATGATGATGGAGAGCCCAAAGCTACCGTTATGATTTCAAAGCTATGAATAAGATTGTGTGTACAAATATGTTTAATGATTTTTCAATTCCAGCACTCTTGTGATTGTAAAAAATACTTGGTAATATAATGTCATATATGGAGTTTCAACTTTCATATGAAATTATAGTTATAGCGGTGATTATTTGTTTATTAAGAAAATGTTACTGTAAATATAATTTAACTCAGAATCAAGTTAAAAATTCCATCCATATTTCATTTTTAATCAATGTAAAAAGCTTTAGTCATTTAAATAAGTGATTTCGGTTTCGAATTCTTGTGCATATATAAAACTTCTTAGGTAGCTATGTCAGCTTTGTGTGTCCGATCGAAAATTAAGGGATTAGTATCCTGGAGATCTAAAAAAAAAAAAATAGGCAAAGAACATATTTATTCCCACAACTACCATCCAGATCCTCTTTTTGATCCCCAAATAAAAAATATTCTCAATTGGTCCATCATTTGTTGAACACTTCCTAACTAACCGAACTCACTTTCTAGTTTTTGCCATAGAATAGGGAAAAAAAAAAAAAAAAAACAAAGGACCTATTTTTTTCTAAAACTAAGTTGTTTTTACATAAATTTTACTAGAGATATAAATTGGGTAATATTTGCTATATGAGGATCTAAGTGGAAATATTTTTTGTTTAGGGATCATCCTAACACAAATGGGTCTAATACCATCATTTGTAAAGTTACTTGGTCCAACAAAAATCACATGATTCTTAATTGGGCCGAACGGGCAATGGTTTTTAATACAATTATGAACGCCATTTTTAAAATTGAGGATCTATTTCTAGTATTAACAATTTTATTTTTATTTTTCATTCCTAATCAATAATGAACTACTCCTTCGATTAAAAAAAATATATTTATTTTTGTATTTATATCTATCTTAAAATACTTATTTGGTTGAAAATTTAAGTGATGTACTTTCTTAAATTACTTTTAATTAAAATCAATTTCCTAAAAAATTGTCCGTATATAATTTTTTTTAATATGAAAAAAAATATTTATATGATATAATAATTAATAATTTTTTTAATGTATGCAAAAAATAAAAATAAAAAAATTTAGTCAAGAGAAATTACTATACAATTGCATTCAATATTTTGATTGAATGATAAAGTACATACTGTCAAGTGTTGTCTCCTATATACAAGAGTATAGAGATCACAAAAGGATAGGAGAATGCATTTGATTATGAATGTACATGAACATGGCAACTGCTTTCAACAAGCTTCAAATAAATTTTATAATCCGGATATAAGTAAAAAAATAAATAAAAAATAGCAATTTCTGCTTATGAATTTAAATGGAATCTGTTTGCGAGGCCCATTAGATAAGCCCATTCTCAGTCAAAGTCTTACTACTAAACAAGGCCTACACCCAGCCCATAAAACCCCAACGTTAAACTCTCCAAAAACAATATGACATTTTCCTTTCCTATTTCTTCCTTTTTTTTTTGCTTTTTTTTTTTCCCAACAGTTGATACTTGATACCATAACAGCCTCAAATTATGCTCCCTTTGTCTTCTCTCCACTTCCTTGTCTAAATTTCATTAACTTTTTCATTTATTCCATCTGGATTTTAATCATTTTTTAGAATTACCCTTTTTGACAACTTTTCTTGTGTCATATCTGCAAAAAGTCCAGAATTTTTGACACTTTTTAAGTCATTAAATTTTGCTCATCAAGTGAGCTTTTAAACAATCAAGCATTGATCTTTTGTTGCTTTCTGGGACAAATATGGAACTTTGAGTGGTGGGTTTTCTTTTTGTGCTTTTTGGAACAAATATTGAACTTTGAGAGTTGGGTTTTTGTTATTTTTCTTGATGGGTGCTGCAGCTACTCAGTACCCATATGGAATCACTTCACATTCTTGTGTAAAATTTGGTCACAAATCGGAGATTTCGAGCTCTAATTTTCCATATAAAGTGGAATTATCTAGATTCAACTTGTACCCAAGTTCAGATTCCACAAATAACTCCAAGGTATGTTAGTAAAGATTGTGTCTTTATAGATTATATGGACAGTTGATCAGTCCCCATTTTTTTTTTTAAGGAAAGAAATGAAGCAAAAACCATGTCAAGTATACTGTAATGTAATGGGACGGAGATAATCTAACTTATGTTTTAGTGGTTGTTAATTTGTAAATGAGGTAGTGTTGTTCGATCTGACAATTTTGTAAGAGAAAACATGGGCAGTTATGGCTTCAACAAAGTAGTTACTATAATAGATCATTTGGTCTGGTCAGTCCATATATGTCTAATAGTGGCTTGATGTAAATTAATAAAACAGCTATTTCTCTGTTTAGTCTTCGGCCCCATTAGTTAATTACTCCAAACAAAATTTACGGATCTCTAAACGCTTAACACGCATTTTTTTTAGTTGATTAAAACTTTTATTTCTAAAGATTGCAAATGTAGGCGACATTTGTGAAAATCTTAGGATTCGTGTGTCAGATTCTGACATGGGAAAAAGAGAAGGTATAGGTTGGACTGGAATGTATTATAAGAAGTTGGTGATTCAAGGGTGATGTAACATCGCTGGATTAATTAGCATTACTCATCTTAATATGTATTTGTAATGATTCTTGTACGAAATTCTTGTAAGATTGTACAAGAATTTGTTTCACTAATTAAAAATTAGCGAAATTCAAGAAAATCTAAAGAATTTCAAGTGCCTGTGGTTGTTTTCAACCTAGCAGCAGTAATCATCTTCATTTAATAGGAAATTCTTGCAGGATTGTACGAGGATTTAATTCATTAAATGAAAAATTAGTGATTCAAGGATGATGGAACATGGTTGGGCTAATGGATACCATTATGACAAAATTTTCATAGATATCAGCAGTGATGCATCCTGCAGGGCATCCAACATAGTATACAAAAGGCACGTATCACTGAAAGCAAGCAAGAGTTATCTGGAAAATGAAAACGTCTACCAGCACCAATTAAATAGAAAAGCACAATTTTAAATTTTGGAGATTCAACAGTAGAACCATCTTGTATATAATATGAAATAAATCGATACTGCAAGATATACATTTTGTGCACTAACCTATTTAGTTAATTCATATTGAAACATAAATGTACTATAATTAATTTAAGTCAATATTTATTTTGATTTGTAATATCATTGAATAAAAAATTTCATTGATCTATCTTAATTAACTCAATCTAATGAAATATTTTTTCTCCAAAAAAATTCACTTCATAAAGTTTATATTATTTATACTATAGAAAATAATGTTTATCACAAAAAAAAAAAAAAAAAAAAATGGAGCATTTATGTTCTAAATTTAGGAAGAGAAGTTGATTTTTTTAAATTCATTAAAAACTCAAGTTTAAAATTGATGTTATACATATTGAAGGAAAGGACACTTTACTGCTCTAATTAAGTTGTGGAGTATTTCTTTCCTACGTTTAAGTTGTGAAGTCAATTTTTTTTTTTTTAACACTGATTTTTTATGGCTCAATAACATTTTCAATGAAAATTACGATCATAACATTAAGGTGAAAACATTAAATAAATATTTTATTAATTGATAATAATATTATAATTCAAATATTAAATTACTCAATACTTTATAAATAAATGAAAAGTTAATTATTTTTAATATTCAAAGGTTAATGGCTTAATAAATTGTCAAAAAATTTCTCCAGACATTAATGTGACTAAGATTTGAATAATTTTTCTATTTTTTAATTTCTAAATTAATTTGAAATTTCACGAATGGAATATCTTTTATATTATTGATTAATTAAAATTAAGGTTTTTCTCACATTTAGATTTTGTATTCTTTGAATTATTTTGATTGAGATTTTTTATTTTTTTTAATTTGATTGAAATCTTCTAATTTTTAAGATTTTTTTTTTAAACTTTTAGTTATACTTGTTGTTGTTAGCGAATGGTATGTGATATTGTAAAATAAAAATAAAATAATATATTGATTATTAATTGATGTTATTATAACCTAAGTTCTGAAGTAAGAATTATCGAAGGGGTTAGTATTTTTGTAAGCTAAGGATTTAGGATAAGGGGCGATTGCCAATAGAACAGTGGCTGGACTTCATTTTACTTACCAATTGCCACTGAAGTCCAGCTCCTAACTAGTGGTATTAATTAGTGGCAAATGGGAGACTTCTTCATCTTCTTGTTTAGTGGCTCGACTTCATCAGCAATTGAGAGACTCATTCCAAAACATTAATGGCTTTTAATTCATTCCATGACATTTGTGTCCTGACTTCATTGGCAATTGAACCTCTGTATTTTTCGAATTATTTTGATTGAGATTTTTTTTATTTAATTGAAATTTTTTATTTTAAATTCTTATTTTAGACTCTCAGCTCAGTATTGATATATGGATTATTAATTGGTAGTATTTTTTAAGCTAATGATTTAGTATAAGGAGTAATTACCAAATGAAGTCCAACAACTGACTGTACTTCACTGGCAATTGGGAGACTTCTTCATCTTCTTCATTCCATGGCATTAATTAGTGGCTTGACTTCATCAGCAATTGGGAGACTTCTTTATCTTCTTCATTCCATGGCATTCATTAGTGGCTTGACTTCATCGGCAATTGAGAGACTTCTTCATCTTGTTCTTTCCATGGCATTAATTAGTGGCTTGACTTCATCGGCAATTGAGAGACTCATTCCAAAACATTTTTGGCTGGACTTCATTTGTAGATGGGGGACTTCTTCATCATGGACGTATATCATCCCATCATTTATCATGTTATATTTTTCTACGTATATTCTGAGCTTCATGTAATAATTTATTTATTTATTATTAAAATGATTCTTTAATAAGATATTAAAGTTTTATTGATCAAATGATTATGAATTCAAAATTTATCACCTCAATTCTTCTCTAATTAAAAATTAAAATTTCAACACAAAATAATATGAATTTATGCATGTTTTAATTTTAAAAATTTTCATTTTAAAAAAATGTTAGAAGATAACCTTATCATCCCAATTCTCCTCTAATTAGGACAATCTCGCTCTTGAAATTTTGAAGATCATATTAGTACATATTGTAGGAGTTTTATCTGTATTGTTTTTGAATCAAATTTAGAAATCGTAAATCAAATAGATAAAAATTATTAAATTTAAATCTAAATAAAAAAACATGAAACATCAATCATTCATAACGTGCAGTACCAGGTGTCCGTGAAGGTCATGGCAATCAAATGCATGTTCCATTAGTCAATAAAAAATGATATCAACTTAACTAGTTTTTAACCCCTACATATAAAATGGGCAAATTCCATCGGTATTTCATTTTCGATCAATGGAATTGGACAACCAATTACTTCATCATAGTAATGGAATGATCCATATTGGAAATCCATCTAGTCACATATCATCTATGAATTTTATTTTATTTTTGTTGTATTTTATCCTTTAAGGTATGTATGTTGGATGCATATATAAATAGTAAATATTTTATATTTTTTAAAAAAAAATCAATTTATCTATAAGATAAACTCATAACCTATTAATTCAACTGTTTAGGCTAGAGGTGAAATCCATCTTTGTATGTAAATCTTTACACATCCAAACATACGTTTGCATTTATAACAACGTATTTTTAGACTAACTTTCATTTATAAAAACATAAGTCATCTTCATCTATAAAGAATAAGTCATATTTCTGGTAGAATCTAAAGAAACTATGGACTAAACCCTTAACACAAAGACATCACTCATAATATACAAATTTTTTATCATTCCCCACCAATTTCACTATCATTAATGAGATGTAGACATACAGTTGCGTGTACCAGCTCTATGTAGCTTAGCTGCCTTTAAAAGCTCATCTATCTTTTTATTTTTAACTACAAGAGAGTGCTAAACAAAGTTAAACAGACAATATGGGGCCATGCTCCTTGTTTCAATTCATGATCATAATTAGTTTGGTCTGCTCGCCCTCATTGTTCCATGTTTTAGTCACTTCAACCTCTACTTCTAGGCGTCCTCCACTGTGCCATGGTGATGAGAGGTCTTCCTTGTTGCAATTCAAGAAGAGCTTATTCATTATTGACGAGGAGGCTTGTGTTCTTCATGATCCTTTCGCTTATCCAAAGGTTGAATCATGGAACGTTCGAGTTGAACAAACTATTACAGATTGCTGTTTATGGGATGGTGTTGAGTGTGATGTCATCACTGGTCACGTGATTGGCATTGACCTCAGTAGTAGTTGCCTCTTTGGGTCCATTAACTCCAGTAGTAGCCTCTTCCATCTTGTTCAGCTAAGTAAGCTTAACCTTGCCTCGAATCACTTTAATTACTCTCATATCCCTTCTAGCTTTGGCTATCTTTCCAAGCTGACTTCCCTTAATCTTTCCAACTCTTTCTTTTCTGGTCAAATCCCATCCAACATTTCAGACTTATCAGTGTTATCTTCTCTTGATTTGTCTATGAATTATCAGTTAATGCTCAAGAATCCATATTTCAGAAGCCTGGTTCAAAACTTAACTAGCATAGAAGTTCTCAATCTCAATTTGGTGGATATATCATCCACAGTCCCTGATATCTTGGCAAATTCTTCTTCTTTGGCATTACTTCGTTTGAGAGATTGTGGTTTATACGGCAAATTCCCTACTAGGATTCTCCAGCTACCTAAACTAGAAAATCTTAGCTTGAGCAATAACCCAAATCTCGAAGGTCATCTGCCTGAATTTCACTTCAACAGTCCACTTAGAATATTGTCGATTTACAACACCAGTTTCTCAGGTGAATTACCTGCATCAATTGGAAATCTAAATTCCTTGATTTACTTGTATCTTAGTGATTGCAAATTTACTGGAAGGTTTCCGTCTTCTCTTGGAAACCTTACAAAACTTGAAGCTCTTAACCTTCATAGAAATGAATTCAATGGCATCGTAGAGTTAGATATGTTTCTCAACTTAAGGAAACTGCAAGTTCTTCAACTATCTTATAACAATATATCCTTGCTTGTTAATTCTAGTTCAAATGCCACTTTTCAAAAGTTTTCTGTAATAGGATTGGGTTTATGCAACTTAATGGAGTTTCCATATTTTCTACGCCACCAAGACAAGTTGGAGTTTCTGGACTTATCCAATAATAATATCGGTGGCCAAATACCCAAATGGTTCTTCAACATCAGTACAGATACTTTGATGCTTTTATACCTTCATAATAACTTTTTAACAAGTTTTGAAGGAAACCAAGTTGTTTTCTTGTGGGATAAACTACGGGAGATTTATCTGGACAATAACATGCTGCAAGCATCACTTCCACTTCCACCACCATCTATTGAAGGCTATACTATTGGCCGTAACAACTTCACTGGAGAAATATCACCATCCTTTTGCAATCTAACCTCACTACATGTCTTTGATGTGGGTGTCAATAACTTGAGTGGCAAGCTTCCTTCCTGTTTGAGCAACTCCAGTAGTTACATGGAAATGATGGACCTCCAAAGAAACAACTTTTTCGGCACAATTCCTCAAACATTCACAAGAGCATGCAACTTGAAGATGATGGCGTTAAATCATAACCAATTACAAGGGAGTGTACCAAGATCATTGGTCAATTGCACAACTCTAGAGTTCATAAACCTCGGAGCCAATCAGATCAATGATGTTTTTCCCTTTTGGTTAGGAGCACTTCCAATTTTGAAGGTTCTCATCCTTAGAGCCAACCAGTTCCATGGTTTACTACCGGATCACAAAACAAAGTTTGAATTCCAGAAGTTGCACGTCTTAGATCTCTCTCGAAATAATTTTTCCGGAAAATTGCCAACAAACTACCTCCTCGATTGGATAGCGATGATGGAGATGGTGGACGTAAATCAGTCATCATATATGGACGCAACCGGTAAAAAATTTTGGGGAATCGGCTACATTGTTGATATCACCTATAACTACTCAATGTCAATAACAAACAAAGGCAATGAACTCCAGTATAAGCGAATCCTGGAATTATTCATGGCCTTGGATCTTTCATGCAACAGATTTGAAGGAGAGATTCCACAAGCCATTGGAAACTTGAAGATGCTTCATATGCTCAACCTGTCCAACAATATTCTCAGCGGTCACATACCATCATCCTTGGGAAATCTTACACAGCTTGAATCATTAGATCTTTCTCAAAATAATCTCTCAGGAGAGATTCCCCAGCAGCTGGTGCAACTTGATTTCCTTGCTATCTTCAACGTGTCTAATAACCGTCTTTCAGGACCTGTACCACAAGGAAAGCAATTTGACACATTCCAGAAGGAAGCATATGAAGGAAACCTTGGTTTGTGTGGGAAGCTTTTGCCAAAGAAATGCGAAAATTCCGAGGCTTTGCAACCAGCACCTTCAAGCTCCGAAGATGATCAAGACTCGGATTCTCCTTTTAAATTTGGCTGGAAACCAGTGGCAATAGGGTATGGCTGTGGGGTAATATTTGGGCTTGTGATCGGCCATATTGTGACTGAATGGAAATATGATTGGTTTATGAAGACTTTCAGGATCAGACCAGGGAGAATGAAGGGAGGAAGAGGCGGCAGACGCAGAAACTGAATATATTAGCTAAGGTAATATATATATATATACACAGAGCTCCTTCAATCTCTATAGCTGAATAATATTGTGAAAGAAACATCAGCAACATATATAAATGAATTAATTTATGTCCTTTTTTTTTTTTTTTTTTTTTTGTGCTGTGCTTGCAGAGGTACTACTGTTGAAAGAGCCAAAAGCTACTTTTATGATTTCAAAGCTATGAATAAGATTGTGTGTGCAAGCATTTTAATAAATTTTCAATTCCAGCACTGTTGCGATTGTAAAAAAAATACTTAGTAATATAATATAATGTGTGCAGTTTCAACTTAATTTCACATGCTTCGTGACTTTCAAATGAAATTATACCTATAGTAGTAATTTTTTGTTTATTAAGAGAATGTTAGTGTAAATATAATTTAGCTCTGAATGAAGTTGTAAATTCCATTAGTATTCCATCTTTTATAAATGAAAAAATCTCTAATCTTTTAAATAAATAGTTTTGAGTTCGAGTTTTTGTATATGTAGAAAACTTAAATAATTATACTCATCTTGTACACACGATCGAAAAATAAAAGATTAGTCTAAATTTTTAAACTTAATATACTTAGGGATCAAAAAAAAAAAAAAAAAGCAAAGGACTTATTTATCCCTCAACTATCATCCAATCCTCTTTTAGATAGCCAAATAAAAAAAACATTCCTAATTGATCCATCATTTATTTTATATTATTTTTTTAACTCGTACACCAAAAGTTTTAACATAAGTAATCTGTTAGGATTTGAACCCGTGATTTCTTATAACTCAATAATGGTGATTTATCATTTATTTAACGTTAGCTAATTAACCAAACTCACTTTCAAGTTTTTGCCATAAAAAAAAAAAAAAAAAAACGCAGGACCTATTTTTCTAAAACGAAGTTGTTTTTGCATAAATTTTACTAGAGATATAAATTGGGTAATGTTTATTATATGAGGTTCTAAGTGGAACTATCTTTTGTTTAGAGATCATCCTAACACAAATGGGTCTAATACCATCAGTTGTAAAGTTTACATGTCCAACAAAAATCACATGATTCTCGATTGGGCCGAACGGGAAATGGTTTTCAATACAATTATTAACGCCATTTTTAAAGTTGAGGAACAATTTACATTATTAACAATTTTATTTTTTATTTTTTTTCATTCCTAATCAATAATCAACTACTCTCTCGGTTAAAAAAAAAAATCTATTTTTATTATTTATATCTCTGAAAATGCTTATCTGTTTAAAAATTTAAGTAATATATTTTCTTAAATTACCTTTAATTAAAATCTATTTCATAAAAAAATTCAAATATAATTTTTAAAAAAATAACAAAAAATACTCATATGGTATAATAATTAATAACTTTCTTATGTGAAAAAAAATATATATTTTTAGTAAAGAGAAATTACCATACAATTGCATCCAATATTTTGATTGAATGATAAAATACATACTGTCAAGTGTTCTCTCCTATATACAAGAGCATAGAGATCACAAAAGGATAGGAGAATGCATTTGATTATGAATGTACATGAACATGGCAGCTGCTTTCAACAAGCTTCGACTAAATTTTATAATCCGCACGTAAAGAAAAAATAAATAAATAATTGCAATTTCTCCTTATGAATTTAATGGAATCTGTTTGCGAGGCCCATTAGATAGCCCATTTTCATTCAAGGTCTTACTACTTAATTAAGGCCTATACCCAGCCCATAAAACCCCAACGTTAAACTTTCCAAAAACAGTATGACGTTTCCTTTTTCTTATTTCTTCCTCTTTTTTTTTTTTTTCAACGGTTGATGCTTGATACCATAACAACCTCAAATTATGCTCCCTTTGTCTTCTCTCCACTTCCTTGTCTAAATTTCATTAACTTTTTAATTTATTCCATCTGGATTTTAATCATTTTTTAGAATTACCCTTTTTGACAACTTTTCTTGTGTCATATCTGCAAAAAGTCCAGAATTTTTTACACTTTTTAAGTCATTAAATTTTGCTCATCAAGTGAGCTTTCAAACAATCAAGCATTGATCATTTTGTGCTTTCTGGGACAAATATGGAACTTTGAGTGGTGGGTTTTCTTTTTGTGCTTTTTGGGACAAATATTGAACTTTGAGAGGTGGGTTTTTGTTATTTTTCTTGATGGGTGCTGCAGCTACTCAGTACCCATATGGAATCACTTCACATTCTTGTGTAAAATTTGGTCACAAATCGGAGATTTCGAGCTCTAATTTTCCATATGAAGTGGAATTATCAAGATTCAACTTGTATCCAAGTTCAGATTCCACTAATAACTCCAAGGTATGTTATTAAAGATTGTCTCTTTATAGATTATATGGACAGTTGATCAGTCCTTTTTTTTTTTTCATAGAAAAGAAATGAAACAAAAACCATGTCAAGTATACTGTAATGTAATGGAAAGAAGGAGATAATCTAACTTATGTATTAGTGGTTGTTATTTTGTAAATAAGGTAGTGTTGTTTTGACAATTTTGATTACGCTTAATGGCTAATCTAATGCCTTGGATTAAACAAACAAGATAAGTGCAATTTATTGGATAGGTAATTGAAAGAATTTGATGATCCGATCAGTGAGCTTGTTTGTTTATATATGTTATGTAGGTTTGCAATCAATGGAGCCAGCTAGAAAACTAGTGATCCTTCAAATATTTAATTTAGCTTTAGACATGGATGAAGTTCCTATGTGGATGCTACATGTAATATGATAGCAGTAATGCACGAAACTATGTAAGAGTTAATGTCTTGAATTATAGAGGATTTTTTCTTGATATAGGTTTGTGGTAGTCGAATACGTGCTCTACCTGATATCGATGATATATTCTCGGACATAATTGCTACACCATTACTTGATGTGGTTGAAAACCCTATCAACTTGAAGAATTTAACCATTAAGGTTAGCTCATGAACTTTCTGCATTTACCATACATGTTTCACACTATTAATGTTTCAGCTTCTTTACTCATTAAGGATTGATCTGTGCAGGAACTGAAACTTTTAGCTAGTGAAATTCGTTCAGAGCTGTCTTCCATAATGTCAAAGACAAAAAACGACTTTAAGGCCAGTTTGGCAGTGGTTGAACTGACAGTTGCAATTCACCATGTTTTTCATGCTCCAGTTGATAAGATACTGTGGGATGTTGGGGAACAAGTAAGATTCGCAGCTGATTCCATTCTTTATGGAGGACTGCATGATCATCAAAGAGCAGATGATAGCATGCTTATTGGGGTTTGTTTGTTTCTTTGTGTTGTGCAGCCCTGTAGAAGTGTTGCTAGCATGATTATTTTCTTTTCTAAATATTTTTTAGAGTGACAATGGACTGGGGATTTCTTGATATTACTGGCTAGAAAGAGTCTGAACCAAAGAATAATTCAAAACAATTAGCCTTTTGTATATGGAAATGGTTAGTTTTGAGTGACCAACCAGTCCACTTTTAAGTCAGTCCTTTTTCTTTGCTGGCAGACATATGCACATAAAATTCTCACTGGAAGGAGATCTCTTATGCATACTTTAAGACAAAAGGATGGTCTTTCCGGATTTACATCTCGGTCTGAGAGTGAATATGACCCGTTTGGAGCAGGACATGGATGTAACAGTATTTCTGCTGGACTTGGTAAAATTCCACGCCCTCAGCTTCTTATGCTTTTCTTATTGGCCCTGGCAATACTATTAGTAAGTGTGATATACTGCTAGTAAATGAGATTGACTGTCCAAGTTTGGGCCGTTAACTGTAGCTCTTATATCGCCGTTAGCTCTGAATCAAGTTGTAAACTCTTGCTTATATGCTTCTGTATTACTATCGGGCTCAAACTTAGAAAATGGAATTTGATTAGTTTCTCATCAGGCATGGCAATTGCTCGTGATATTAAAGGGAAGCGGGAACGTATTGTTACAGTCATTTGCAATGGCACAACTATGGCTGGTCAGGTCTATGAAGCAATGGGTAATGCAGGCTATTTGGACTCAAATATGATAGTGATTTTAAATGACAGCCGACACTCTTTACACCCCAAGATTGAAGAGGGCTCCAAGACTTCAATCACCGCTCTATCTAGTACCCTAAGCAAGCTCCAGTCAAGTAAATCATTCCGGAGGCTTAGAGAAGTTGCAAAGGTACTTTCAATGGTTTTCCATTTGCCTACATCACTAAGCTTGTGTTAGGACCATTAACTGACTAATTGCTTAGAAAGAATGGAAAATTTCTGTAATTGAAAATACATTTTTCTGAGTTAATTTAGAAATCTCTATTGCAATAAGGAGCACAACAAAATTCACAATCGTATATCTTGTCCAGACTTAATGTTTGTTGTTTTCATTAAATTGAATGCTCCTTTTTTTCTTATTTCTTATCAAGGGTGTTACCAAGAGGATAGGTATGTATGAATTAGCAGCTAAAGTTGATGAGTATGCACGTGGTATGATGGGTCCATTGGGATCAACTCTCTTCGAAGAACTTGGGTTGTACTACATAGGCCCTGTTGATGGACACAATATTGAAGATTTAGTTTGTGTTTTACAAGAAGTGTCATCTCTGGATTCAATGGGTCCTGTCTTGATACATGTAATAACTGAAGAAAATCAGTGTGCAGAATATAAGCAACAGAGTGAGGCAATGGAGAATCAGCAGGAAGGTGTGCTGAATTCTTATACTTTAATCAGCATTGAATTTTCATAGATGACTATCAATTTTGGTGCATTAATTCACAGTCACACTGAAGTTGGCTATCCTGGTTCTATTTTAGATATCTATGCTGAGGCATATGCTTCGTTCAGAATCAGGACTTAGGTGAGAAAAGGAAATTTGAATTCTGGTCTTCCTTTTTAAGTTTTAAGAACTCAGGACTGGTTAATCATTCTACAGCTTATTAAGTAGAGGCGACAATTTTAATTCTAATAGTAATGCATACATATTCTTAAAGTTGCAGATAGCTTCAAATTCTTATATCTAGGCTAGGCTAAGCTTTGTTTTATTTTCTGATAAATGAAGATTATCATTGATAAAAAAAGAAACTAAAGCAGCAGCTCATCCTGCTTGTAGATATGTACAATCAACAAATGTTCAGATTCTATAAAAACAAGAACAAAAAACTAGTTTAAGAGATCACTTCTCAGTTCTGAAGGAACAGGAGGACTGCCATTTTGCTACGCAAATCAGCATGTTTAGAGCTTTCAATTTCCTCTTGAAGAGTTCTGGATTTACGCAACATGTTTTGAACAAAACAAATAATAAGGTTTACCATGGCCAAGCTTTATTTTGTTTATGCTTTTAGCTTCCAAGTAATCAATGATTAAATGCTGTGCAACAGTGCAAGTTTTATGAATATCCTTCTATGATATGTCCACAAGTACCTCTAGTTTTTATGTTTGGAGTATGAGGTACCCGTCTGTGTTCAGGCTCAGTTTATGTTATGTTTACTTAGCTGTTAGCATGGCTTGTCATCCTCTTTGAATATCGTACAGGCAGTACTTCTTGTGGCTGACTGTTCAAACCCAAAAGTTGGAACTTTTATTTAATTTTCTCTTTTGAATGATGCAAATGCACACAGACCCATATTAGTGTTTGTATTTTTAAAATTTGTTATATACTTTCAAGGTGTGCCCTGGAGCTCAATTATTTCATAACAGTAAGTCAACTCATTTGTGTGGGGTTATTTGGAAGACATTTCCCTCATGTATGTTGATCATAGATGCCAAATTACCTCTCCTCGCCACAGCCGAGTGACCATACACGGCTCTGTTCTGACTTTATTGGGGTTTTTTTTATTATTATTTTTTAATTCATATAGTTTTCTGTTCTAATATTTTTTTTCCTTTTTTGCAGGTTCATGTGACCTGGATGGATTGCTGTATGGTATGCGTACTCCAACATACAGTGATTGCTTTGTCGAGGCTCTGATCATGGAAGCAGAGAAAGACAAAGATGTTGTGATTGTTCATGCAGGAATGGAAATGGAAACATCATTTCAACTATTTCAGGAAAGATTTCCAGACAGGTTTTTCGATGTGGGAATGGCTGAGCAACATGCAGTTACATTTTCAGCTGGCTTGTCATGTGGAGGGTTAAAGCCATTTTGCATAATTCCTTCAGCTTTTCTACAGAGAGCTTATGATCAGGTCTCTCTCTCTCTCTCTCTCTCTCTCTCACACACACACACACACACTTTCTCTCTGTGTTTGTGTGCATACGCATGTGCCATGGGTACTGTAGCATATTCTTGCTAGATTGTCATTTTAAGCTAGTTTGCGTTGTAATTGTTTAATTCTTCAAGCAAAATAGGATAGCATGATTTCAGGTTTTGGCAAATAAATTTAACATTGGTTGCAGGAAAAATCTTAATTTTTCTAGAATGCTGCTCTTTGTGACTTCTCCAGGTGGTCCATGATGTAGATCGGCAACAGATTCCAGTTCGTTTTGTCATTACAAGTGCAGGACTGGTAGGATCTGATGGCCCTGCTATGTGTGGAGCATTCGATATAACATTCATGTCATGCTTACCAAACATGATCGTTATGGCACCATCAGATGAGGATGAGCTTGTGGACATGGTGGCTACTGCAGTCCATATTAATGATCGTCCAGTTTGCTTTCGGTATCCAAGGGGTGCCATTGTTGGAACTGATCATTATACACATAGTGGTATTCCCATTGAGGTGATACTTTTAACAACCCATACTTGTTTACTTACCCTTGCATTTGATATCAGCTTTCCTAAAATGATTTTAAGTTTTGTTGCTCGGAAAAAATTGTATCAGTTTTAGGTAGTGACCATTTTTTAGAAAAAAGAAAAAAAAGCCATAACTGGTGTTTTGTCATGTCCTCTATCATCCGTGATAAGATAATAAATATCATCTTAAGAAAATTGAATCACTATTCACAGCATATCTGTCCCCTAAGGTGTTCAGTTAATTTACTTGGCATGGTTCAGCACTTTTTTGATATTCTTGATTAAGCCTTTTTCAAGTTTTCTTTTAATTTTCAAATTTTCATTATAAATTGGTGATTCCCATGACTTCCTTATGTTCTTTTGGGTTACTCTTTTTTGTATTATATTGGTTACCAAGTCCAGTGTGTTCTTATGCACCCCGTTTGACTACTGTTTGTGTGGAGCAGATCGGAAAGGGAAAAATTCTTGTGGAGGGTCAAGATGTTGCTTTGCTTGGGTATGGGGCAATGGTTCAGAACTGCCTCAGAGCTCAGGCCCTTCTTTCAAAGCTTGGCATTGAGGTAACTGTTGCTGATGCAAGATTCTGCAAGCCACTTGACATGAAGCTTCTCAGACAGTTATGTGAAAACCATGCCTTTCTAGTCACAGTTGAGGAAGGCTCTATTGGAGGATTTGGATCCCATGTTTCACAGTTCATTGCCCTTGATGGACAGCTTGATGGAAGAACTAAGGTAATAATTTCACGGACAGATATTATCAATTAGCGTGTGTTTACTAGAGACAGGTGTATTGTATGTTTCCTGAAGCACTATCACTGCCATTGGAGTAATTTTTGAGTTGTAGACAGTGTTGATTAATGTCAATTCATTACTGCTGCCTGTATGACGACAGGAGGCTCTTATTTAGAAACTGAATATTGCGATAAACTACTACTTGTCCTAATTGCAATTTTTTCCCATATGACTTCTTCAGTGGCGACCAATTGTTTTACCAGACAATTACATCGAACATGCACTGCCAAAGGAACAGCTTGATCTTGCTGGGCTGACAGGACATCATATTGCTGCAACAGTGCTGAAACTGCTTGGTCGCACCCGTGAAGCTCTCCTTTTGATGTGCTAAAAATCTATGATTTTTCGTGCGTTATTAGATGCAATGCTCTTGCTGAAGCTGCCTCAGAGAAAAGAGCTGAAAACAGAAGAAGCCCAAGATTACTTCAAGTATACACAGGTCTTTTTAATGATTCTTTGTAACCTGCTGTGCATAATTTCTTGTTAGTTTAGAAGTTATTAACGTAAAATTAGATTTTCAATTGTATAGAACTACAGGTGAAAATACATGTTTGTAACATTTAGAGCAGCCGTCATTGCATTTATCTTGATCTCAGTTTTTTGATCTCCTCTATAATTCTTGCTCCCATAAAATACATCCGTAATACAGGGTAACAAAGAAAAGTATGACCTATTTGTGAAATATACGATAAATCATCAGGGCTCGCACAAAAATGAAGCAACAGCACCAATGGAAGTCACCCTGTATACAATTCCAAAAGAGTGCCAAACATTATCATTTCTCATTATTCTCTATATGCAGTTCTCTACAATTCCGTTCATATTTGTGCGGGGTTTGGTAGTATAAGCAGCATTTTCAATTATACCCAACATGAATGCAAGGCCAGCCTAGTGGAGGATTCTTCTGGTTGCCTCCTTCCTCCCCTGTAAACTGGATAGTACTACAGACATGCATCATGGTTTGAGTGAAGTCTGGAATGCCTAAGATTTCAGCATTGGTACAGTGGCAATGGCCGTCGCAGCCACTGAATTTGAATAAAATAGCAAATCCAATAGTCGGCATCGTGCCGGTACTAAAGTATCAATACAGTAGCAAGTTAGCAATCCCCGTGGTTTGTAACCTTTCCATTTAAAGTTTCTTGAAAGAGCAAAGCAAAGATCATCAAAAACTTGGAGGCGGTTGATTCTTCCTAGCTAAGAAATCATCCTTGAAAGCTACAAGTACCGGACTATGACCAGGCAAGTCAGTGGCTGAAATGAAGTGGCAAAAACCCGGTTAGGTATAGCAGCAACACCCCACCAAACGATCCTATATCCAGTAACTTTTCATCAGCTACAGGATTTGCTATGTTCAGCTGTTAATATACAAAAATGAATGCTAGCCAGTGGGTGACAGGTTAAGTTTACTCAGTCTGTATCTAAAAGGGACAGTGCTTGATGCTACTGAATATGTGACAAGGTATAATTACATTATAAGTATATTAATTTTTAATTTTTTCTCAATTGAGTATATAAATTTTAATTTTTTTGTTTAAGTACACTAACTTTTTAAAATCCACAAATCAAGTACTTCTATCAATTTTTTCAGATGTGTCTATGCCCTCAAAATGCTAAATTATAATTTTACTTTTTTTCTTAATAGAATACATAAATTTTACTTTTTTTTTCGTTTGGATACATTAATTTTTTCAAAACCGTCATTCAAGTATTTCATCAATTTCTTCGTTAATTGATAACGTGTTTGAATACAAAATTATAATTTTACTTTCTCGTTGAAGAAAACTCTCTAAATTATTTTACTATTTTAAAATTTGATAAATAATTAAAAATATTATTTTTTATCTATAAATTACAAACTAACCTCGGTTAGGTTGTTGTTAAAGAAAAACTCAGTTAGATGTAAGAGTGAAAATTGAAGAAAAACACAAATGAATCTTCTCGATGAAAAATCTTACATTTGTGTTTCCTTCAACTTTCATGTCCAATACCTAACTGATTTTTTTTAATAGCAAGCTTTATTAAGTTTAGTTCGAGATTTTATAATTAAAAATAATATTTTTAATTTTTTGTCAAATTTAAAATGATAAAATAATTTAGAGAGAGTTTCTTACAACAAAAGAGAGGAAAAAATATAATATGTTATTTGGACACATTATTAATTAATGAAAAAAATAACGAAAGTACTTGATTGATAGTTTAAAAAAAAAATTAGCGTACTCGATCTAAGAAAAAAAATTCATATACTTCATTGAGAAAAAATGATAAAATTATAATTTGATATTTTGAGATTAAAAAATAGGTCATTAATTAATGAAAAAATTAACAAAAATACATGATTGATAGTTTTGAAAACATTAATATATTAAAAAATATTTTTTTATTAAAAAATATTTTTTTAATTAAAAAAAAGTTGATAGTTTTGAAAACATTAATATATTAAAAAATATTTTTTTTAATTAAAAAAAAAAGTTGGTGTAATTATAATGTGATTATACCTGTGTGACACACCGTGATTATAAAGAAACGCGTAGAGGTTAGTTAACTTCTTGTTTCCTCTCTTCAATTGCCGGAAATTCTAGCTAGATAGCTAAGATTTGCGGCAGGTAAAAAGTTATCTTCCCCTAGATTTCCTCACTTATTTAGCTATTTCTGGCCATTATCTTAATAGATTCTTGTCATTTCATGCATGATAACTTACCTGGATGAGAATCATTTTCAGGTTCAGAGAAAGTCCAGGCAATGATCGATCGATCTCTTGTTTTGTTAGTCCTGTAACTGCTGGATCCTGCGTTGTCATACTATATGGCTCTATCCACTTCCAATATTGCAAAAGAACAAGAACTGGAAAGCAGAAATTTCAGAATTTTCCAACTCATTTTGCGAGAAATATGTGCTTTGACAAAACAATATTCATTCATATGGAAATATTCCATCTTGCGGGACCATCCATTCCCTTCTCATTTCTCTAATATTTCTGATCAAAGTGACAAAATCAAAGTTGGCTCCAAAAACCCTTTTCACCAACCACCAATATTTTCAATTTTAGTGGATAATTCAATGTCAGAGACCTTCCTCCTTCTACTTGAAGTAATATAAATTATATTTTAAAACCTCACCTAATAACTTAATATTTTAAATAAAATAATTTTTTAATATTAAACTATTACATAAGATACTACAGTATAATTTATATTATTTTTTAACACCTTTCTTCGTATCATGTCATGAAAACATAAAAAATATATATGTGTAATATTTTTTTTGTTATCCTTATTAAATTGTATTAAATTAAACCCGATTAAAAATAAATAAACAATCTCCATACATTAAAGCTGGCGGAAAGCATCCATTACCAAAAATATATATATATATATATATCTTGCCTTCAAAGTCAAATCATTGTTTAATTTATTTATTTTTAATTACATAAAACAAAACGACACATGCTAAAAAACACAGATCCTCCGTCGATCAATACCGCCAATGAGCTTCAACCACGTAAGCTATTTCCCGATTCTATACCCCACAAAACTCGCCTAGGTTATGAACTAAAAAAAAAGGAAAACTTCTTTTCTCCTCTTATTTTCACCTCTCCTCAGTTCTCTCTCTCTCTAGAGAGGGGGAAAAACATTAAGTTTTAGAAGGACGATCATATGGGGTCCTGTTGACATTATCTCCGGTCACCACCACCTCTCTTCTTCCTCCGGCACCGACACATTCCTTCATTTTCTTCATTTTTTCTTATTTCTTTAATATAGGTAAAAATGGTTAATTACTACACATCATTTCTTTTCATGCATCATTGTTTTTTTAATAAAAGAATGCCAACATTAAGATATCTATATGTTTGCATGCATGCCCTTCATAAGCTCTTTTTCTTTTCGTCACCATGTTGAAAAATCTCATCTTCAAGGTGCAAAATAACCCACCTTGGCAACCCAACGGTATAAAGATGGGAGTTTCATTTCCAGTTTTGCTTTTGGAATTATCCCATGATTAAACCGGTCTATGGGTTGGGCTGCTTTCAATGCGAGTGAATTTGGATTTTTTATTTTTTATTTTTTATGCTAGAATGGAAGTGATTTGAAGATTTGTTAATTTCGAAAATGCAATATATGTTGCAATGATGGGTGTTAATTTCTTTTTAGCCTGATATGGTTATTTGTTTTAGATTAATTTTTATATGCTTTAACTGGTTTTTTAATTTTTATTTTATTATGTAAAAAGTTGATGAATCTAACCTTGGGTGTTCGTTTTTGCGTTAGAAAATGGAGAACATGAAGAGTCCATTCAAGGGAATAATAAAAGATGTGAGAGGGAGAATAGGATGTTATAAGGATGATTGGGTCAGTTCATTGTGTTCAGGCTTCAGAATATTGGCTCCAACTTTTTATATCTTCTTTGCTTCTGCACTTCCTGTGATTGCCTTTGGAGAGCAATTAACTAGAGATACAGGTAATTTATTCTTCTAAAAAATTTTGTCAAGTTGGAAGAATTTTAAAAGCCAGAATCAAAATGTTCAAAACCAATTTTTGGTCATAGTAGCATGCATGTATACATACATATGCTATGTGCTGAGGATAGTTTGAGGCATATATCATGTTTTGTGAATTGGGATGATGATGAAGATTGTGTTTGTTTTATTTTAGATGGAAGCTTGAGTACTGTGGAAACCTTAGCTTCTACTGCTATTTGTGGAATAATCCACTCGATTTTCGGTGGACAGCCATTGTTGATTCTGGGGGTTGCAGAACCTACTGTTATAATGTACACTTATCTGTACAATTTCAGCAAAGGAAGGGAGGAGTTGGGGCAGAAATTGTACCTAGCTTGGGCTGGCTGGTAAGGGATTTCTTTTTTTTTGGGTCTTAAGGATTTTTAGATTTCTTGAACATAAGCATGTGTGTTGTTATTGATTCATTTTTTCTACTGTTCTTACAGGGTTTGTGTCTGGACAGCACTCCTACTAGTTCTTCTAGCAATTTTTAATGCAGCTACCGTCATCTCTAAATTTACAAGGATAGCAGGGGAGCTTTTTGGCATGTTGATTGCAGTCCTTTTCATTCAGGAGGCTATTAAGGTACTGGTTTGTTATTGTTCTTTTCGTGATAAGACTTTGCTATATAATGGGGTTGACCGTCTTAATTTTTGGATCGCAGGGAGTGATTAGTGAATTCAATATTCCTAAAGATGAAAATGCAAAACTAGCGAAGTACCAATTCCAGTGGCTGTATGCAAATGGGTTGCTTTCTGTAATTTTCTCATTCGGTGTCCTGTTCACTTCCCTTAAAAGCCGAAGGGCAAGAACATGGCGATATGGCACAGGTAATGATCTGCAGTTTGGCAAGTGGATGATTTAATAGAAGACACTTTTTTCAGCTTTTTAATTTACCTTTTTCAAATCTTTATTCCGTTCTTGTAGGATGGCTCCGAGGTTTTATTGCAGACTATGGAGTTCCCCTAATGGTCTTGTTGTGGACAGCAATGTCTTATGTCGGACCCAGCAAAGTTCCTTCTGGGGTTCCTAGGAGGGTTCATGTTCCGCTTCTTTGGGATTCTGAATCACTGAGTCATTGGACAGTAATCAAGGTAATAATCAGGTGAATGTTATTTCCTTTAGGTAGTTTATTTCCGAGGACATTTTGAAATTTTAGTTTTGAAGATATTCTTAGGTTCTGTGCTAGACAGAACAATTATTGCGCTAGTCTTTAGCTAAACCTGAACGCAGCTATAACAAAACTAGTCTAATTTATAATAATGTGTTTCAACACTCAAATTACAGGGCATGATGAAGGTTCCTGTGACATACATCTTTGCTGCCATAATACCAGCTGTTATGATAGCCGGATTATACTTTTTCGACCACAGTGTAGCTTCACAGATGGCACAACAGGAGGAGTTTAATCTCAAAAACCCATCTGCTTACCATTATGATATCTTGTTGCTTGGTCTCATGGTATGTGATAGATTCATGAGACAGTTCCTTCTCTGTATGTTTCATGTTTAGCTTCTGTAGCTTATCTAGCTATTTGGCTTACCTTGCTGCCTGTTGTTCGCAATTTCAGACTTTGATTTGTGGGTTGCTTGGACTTCCTCCTTCAAATGGTGTCCTCCCTCAATCCCCCATGCACACCAAGAGTCTTGCAGTTCTCAAGAGGCAGGTATGGTGAAACTTCTGAGGACATCCTGTTACATGTTAGTATCAAGTTCAATTTGTTTAGATTTTTTTATGTTATGAGCTTGATCTGCAGTTGATTCGTAAGAAAATGGTAAAGAGTGCAAAGGAATGCATGGGCCGAAAAGCAAACAACTCAGAAATTTATGGAAAAATGCAAGCTGTGTTTATAGAAATGGATGCATCTTCACCTGTAAGTGCTCAAGGCTTGTTGGTTTGCAGCCTACCAGTGTTTCAAAATCTGTTTGTATGCAATTGTGTTCCTTTCTAAACTTGACAGGAATTTTGCTGCAGGATGTTTCAGTATATAAGGAGTTGGAGGACTTGAAGCAGGCTGTAATGAAAACTAATGATGGAGGGGATGATAAGGACAAATTCAATCTTGAGAGACACATTGATGCTTATTTGCCTGTGAGAGTTAATGAACAAAGAATGAGCAACCTGTTACAGTCAACCCTTGTCGGAGTATCAATGTGTGCTATGCCTCTGATAAAAAGAATACCTACATCAGTTCTTTGGGGATACTTTGCCTACATGGCCATTGATAGTCTTCCAGGGAATCAGTTCTGGGAAAGAATGTTGTTGCTCTTCATCACTCCTAGCCGGCGTTACAAGTAAGTAGCATGCCTTGAAATTAGTAGAGAAATCACGCTGAATGATAAGTAGTGCTTATTTAACTCCATGATAATGATATGAGAAACATATCTTAGTTCTAAGAAGGTTTGATTTCCCCATCCATAGCAACCAAACACATCTTGGTTTTAAGAATAATTTTCAACTTATCAATTGGAGCTGACAATAGAAAGCAAGTGCTCAAGATTTTTTATGAAGTACAAAGTGGAGGATGTTAAATTTCTATAAATCATAGATACTTGACAGATATTGGGGTAGTTGATCCTGCATTAGCTATGAACTATAGCTTTGCAAATGATACTAACTTCTGATCTTTCTGTATTGGGCAGAGTCCTGGAAGGTGTTCATGCTTCATTTGTGGAGTTGGTGCCGTTCAAGCAAATTGCTATCTTCACACTCTTCCAATTTGTCTATTTTTTGATCTGTTTTGGAGTGACATGGATACCCATAGCTGGAATATTGTTCCCCCTACCATTCTTCTTTCTTATTGGCATAAGGCAGCATATCCTTCCCAAGTTGTTTAATCCTGACCATCTTCAAGAACTGGATGCTGCTGAGTATGAAGAAATTGCCGGTGCACCACGAAGCCGAAGCCTTTCACTCAGGGTACAGTCTTCTAATTTCTTCTATATATGGTTTAATCTATGGACAATATAAGGCTTATAGCTTTAGTATCTAGGGAAGTGATGAATATGCAATGTCAATTGATTTGTTTTCTGTTAATAACAAAACCTTGAATTCTGCAAGTGACTTGACTTGTTATGATCCAGAATAAATTGGATGAGCTTCTAGAAATAGACTTTTGCCCTAAAGCCTAGTTTTCAGAATAGAAAACGTCGACAGGATTTTAATCTATATGCATATAAGCCAAACTTGGTCTGAGGATAATTGTGCTTGTTATTTTAGCTTAGTTTGAACCATAATCTATTTTGAGCATTGCCGTAGAAACTATCAGGTGCTATTTGGTAATTAAGAATAGCGTGGTGGGAATGAGAATGGAAGTTTTATTCTCACATTATAGCTGTTTGGTTAAAAGAAATGAAGTGGGAATGAGAATGAAGAGTGGGAATAGGAATGAAAATTTACATACAACTTCATTCCCACATAAAATGTGGGAATAAAAAACAAGGAATGAGAATGAATTTTTTTTCAAAATAATAATATTATTTATTTATTTATTATCTATTAACTACTTTTGCCACCATCACTACAACTACGACCACCACCACCATCACAACCACAACCATCATCATCATCACCTACAACCACTACCACTACTAACATCATCATAACCACCACACCACCACAATCATCATTATCACAATCACTACCGCAATCATTACCGTCACCGCCACCACCACCACTACTAGAACCACCACAATCACTACCATCACCTTTATTATTTTTATAACTATTATAGTTTAATAAAATTATTTTTTAATCATTATTTATATTTATATACAAAATCAGATATTAAAAAATTTAAATTGCATTCCGATTCCTTATTAGTATTCCAAACACAGTATTAAAATACAAATACCATTCTGATTCCTGCATTCTCATTCTCATCACTTTATTCTTGATTATCAAACAACACCTCATGTTAATGCACATGAGTGCAGGAAAGAGAACCACCTGATGTGGGGCCAGACGGTAGCGAAGATGATTTCTTTGATGCTGAGATACTGGATGAGATGACAACCAATAGAGGCGAGTTGAAGCTTAGAACTTTAAGCTCCAAAGAGGAGAGATTATATCAGGCAAGAAATACCTATCTCCTTTAAATAATTTGGTGCATTTTCCCCTTGTATCTTTTTGAATCATGTTTATGATAGAGTATGATATGGTATGTCTGACAGGTGCATCCACACGCATCAGGATGATGTTTGAATACAATAAGCATCTTGACGACAATTAGGATATACTACGGGTTCATACCAACGAGGATGATTACTATGATCCTCTCTTTGACCTTTAGAAGACGAAACAAAGGCCTTTTGAGCAAGAGTTTTGAAGATTATCACTAGTATAGACTGAATCTGTTGCAGAAGAGAAAGAATGCCAGAAAGAACATGGCTAATCGAGAAGCTTTACATATAGCTCGTGATTCTTTGCTCACATAATTGCTCCTGCAAAAAATAGTTTGAGAGGGAAGGAGGCATGAGATAAATGAGATGCTTTTGGGAATGCAGAAACCCTCATATTTTTATTCCTAACGAAATTAGTGAAGTTCTTTTATTATTAATTCTTTTATTTTTATTTTTTTACTTATTTAATAGGAAAACAGATTGATAGTCAGAAATTTTAGAAATCTTTCAAATTTTTGCTGGTCACTTTCCCTTACAATGAGTTTTTCCCAATTTACAGAATCACGTCAAGCTGAATTAGAATACATTTTGACATAGATATACAATGGCCTGACCTTTGTAGATTCTCTCTTTGTATGCTCTTTGCCATCAGTTAAACCTCTATGGAACCTTGAGGCTGTTTTGATATGCTTCATTCTTTCAAACAGGTAAATGTCAGTGCACTTAACATGAATGCCATCTCTAGCAGGCATATTGTTTAGGCATGGACTTTGATATGCTTCAGAAAATGAAAAAAGAAACTCAAAAGGAAATGGAAATATGCCTTGAAACAAGTCCGTCTCTCACCAGCTTCTCCCCCTTTGACATAGTTTTGTACATAAAAGTGACTTTCCAGGAGGAGTTTTTAGAAAATTCTGCTTTGGCTGTTTAAACTAAAGCAAGCACTGAAGCTGTGCTGATTATTAAGAATGTCTTGCACCAATTTTATCTGCTGTCCCTTTAATCACTTGGACTCACTTTTGGTGATTGCAAACTACTTCTAGAGAAGATTGGTGCTAGAATTCCCCATTGCCAACAGCCAGTTCATCTTTTTTAATAAGTCAATTTTATTAAAAAGCTAAAAGAATGGAACTTTGCTGCGTAGCTAGGAACATCTGGTGTTTGTTGTGAAGCTTAAGTTCCTTGTGGATTGCTTGGTGCCATAAATATCCGCAGAGAAATAGAGGTATTTGGAGTGTGAGCATTCCAAATGATTGTAGTTTGAATTGGAGGAAAATTTTGAAATTGAGAGACATTTTATCTGATCAATTGGAGCAGAATATTGGAAACGGGAGGAATGTCTTTCCCCGGTGAGGCAATTGGCTCCCTCGAGAAATTAGAGCCCCTGATAAAGATTTCTGGGATGAGGTTCATTTATGATTCAGGATTTTCTTCTACTGCTAAGTGTTGTGATGTCATTTCCAATGGTGATTGGAAATGTCAAGTTTTCAGTCTGCTAATTGTAGTGCTGTTTATCCCTCAGATTCTATTGACGATTTTGTAATTTGGAAACTTTCTCCTAATGGAGTTTTCGATTGCAGAGTCTTAGTGCAGCAGATTAGTGAAAGAAGGACCAGGCTTAGTTAGCCATCTTGAAAAGGCTATCTACTAAAGCAAGACCGAGTTCTGATCCTTTTGTTCGAAATTTCTTCGTTCGTACCAAACCGCTTGCAGACATAAGCTTTGGAACTGTGATTCAAGTTAAGAGAGGAAGGCTTGTTGAGCCTGATTGTGTTTTCTGCAAAGGAACAACTGAAGACAGATCATTTATGTTTTTCTTACACAGATCACTTATGTTTTTCTTGTCGAGAAGTACTGAAGAGCATATGGAGTTCCATTATGTAGATTTGCATCATTCAAAGGTCAGTAGGTGATTGGAGATATGAATCTGATTTTGCAAAGACGTATACCAGAGTAAATCAAGCTCAATCAAAGTAAATCAAGCTCGATCAAATACGAGCCACAGAGTAAATCAAACTCAATCAAATCAGAATCATCATAAAATCACAAACTTAACATGTTTTTATTATTTTATTACGTTATTTCAAAAATAGATAAAAATACACAAACTAAGCTTCCTATAATCATATTAATCATATTAGCATGGGAGGATTTTTCTGTTGAAAATTCCCTTTTCACATGACATGGCAAGACAGATAGGATAACTGCATGGAGTATTCTCCATCTAGGATTACAAGTAGCTAAAAATTAAAATATGGATTACACATTTCACTCTTCTCTTTCGCCCGAATACCCCGCAATCCAGACCCGTTTTCTTCTTCTTCTTCTTCACTTGCCAGCCTCTCACCTAAACCACCAATTGCATCCATCTCCACGTCCCACGGCCAACATCCTTCACTCCGACACGCAAAAACCAGCTGCCCTCCGCGCCCTGAATTAGGCCCTTTGTCAAAGCTTCAGATTTTTGTTGGTCATTGTGGGCTTTCCTAAATGCTAATTCAGCCTGGCTAGGATATATCGAAACATCAGCTAACTTGATTGATTTGCTTGCCAAATCCAACTTATGTCCGGTGAGCAAATCTTCAGTATTATCCAGGATATCAAACCGAGATTCTTGCTCTCTTGTACTGTCCAACTTAGGTAATTTTCCAGTAATCCCACATGTTTCCTTTCTAACTCCTCCTATGTATCCATGACCCAAAACTTTCAGACGCTTGGGCACAGCCAGGACTTTGATCAATAGTAGCCATCCAACCATGGATGGTGGAGTGAAGGATATTGCTTGTTTTGCTTTTAGGTTTAGCGAGGCCAACAAACACATGAGCATTAGGCTTACTCAAATACAGTATTCACTTCGCAACTTAACAATTTTTACAGGACAGGGGTCAACAGGTTTGCCCCAAATATAAACAGTCGGTATACGACTCGCATCCCCTGAAATTACTATCGTATCATGAGACTCGCACCGGTCAGCATTCCGGCGACAATCCAGAACTACTCTTTCAGTCCACTCCTAGATCTCGATTACCCTAACTACCTTCACATTTGCTTAAGATATTCATTTCTGTGACAACTGTGGATGACAATGTTATGCTAACTTTTCATATTGTATAATACATAATCTCCTGTTTCCTATCATAGTTTCTCTATTTATACAACCTGCTTCGGTGGTAAACGTTGAAACTTGGAAAGAGAAAGCAAGACTACAGCAAGGACCACCATGTTTTCTCAATTTCCATAAATAACTATGAATCCTGGAAAAGTAATCTGAACTTCGAAACTGACCAGGTCAATCTGTCTTTTGTAAATTTTCAGTGCCAGGATCACTAACAAGAACAAGATGATCTCCATCTCTAACGAGCTCTATATCTTCAATTTCAGCACCTCGATCGTTTAGAATCTTGGTGGCAATGCATCCAAATTTTCTAGCACCAATATCAAGTAGTTCTTGGAGTGATTTCGGTAATACAACTAGTTTTCCAGCAACCTCACCTTTATCTGGACAGCTGAGAGTCAATCTAGCAGGATAGTGCGAACTTGGAAAAGTGGTAAAACGGGCTGGAGATGAAATCATGTCATTCTCACCTGCAAAATTTGAAATTTTAACTTTAATTCCAAGTAAAAGTGGACAAAAGCTGAGACTAATTTTTCAAGTGTGCATACTGCATAGCGATTGAATGGTTTCTAATTATTTTTACAAGGACTAAGTTAATGACAAACTTACATGCTGACTTTATGGTCTCTATCCTCTTGTGTAATTCAATCTCTCCATAACTCTCCATTCTATAATCCTAATTGCCTGGTTTCCATGTTTTACCCCTAAAAATTTTAAATCCAGAAGTCACAATTATGTCTTGGCGCTCTTACCAGTATTAGCAACTGACATCATCCCAACAAGCGAGTTGTGGAAATTGTCCGCCCTCCTCCTTCGAGGTCGATCCGGCCATGAGACTTCAGGGACTGGTGGCACAACATCATGACGCAAAGATGAAGAAAATGGAGGTATTGTAGGCTCACTATTATACTTTGCAATGGACTTCCCACCATATGGCACCCCTGGATGCTTCGGAATTGTGGGAACCTTTTTCTTATTTGTCTGCACTCTATTTTCAAACAAAACTTGAATTTCCTCTTGGCCCTGATGATCAGCCAACGCCCTTGGTGTCCATCCGTGGAGATCTGGCTTATCAACATCAGCTCCTTGGTCTAAGATGAACTGAACCATTTCAGTGTTTCCTTCGGAGATTGCTGCATGAAGTGCAGTAGTTCCACAGGGTGCGGGCAGTGTTACATCTCCACCATAGTTGAGAATTTCCTTGAGCAAATCTAAGTTATTTTGCTCTGCGGCTACGAATGCAAATTGGCCCACCTCACCAGCAGTTAGTGTTGCACCATTGTCTGAGAGAAGTTTAATTACAGATTTATGGTCCCCCTGTAACGCTTCCCATAGAGGAACATTGCCTTCTGAATCTGCATGAGCAAAATCAAATTATTGTTAAATTTCTTTTAGCAGATAAGAAGGAAATATGAGTCAGACAACTCGTTACGGGTGTTTATGTTCGCTTATTGGCTAGAGAATACCTTTGATGTTAGGATTTACTCCATACTCTAGAAGTAGGAGTACACAATGTTCATTCCCATTTGAAGCTGCAATATGCTGTGCATTCCCAGTTCATACAATAAAGAAATTATTGGAAGACAATAATGTTTTGGGACTAATATCCATGTAATATGTATAAAAGAAGATTTACATACCAGTGCAGTTCGTCCATTTTCGTCCATTTCGTTTGGATCTAAGCCCCGTTTCAGCAACTGTTGCAACAACAGATCATCACCCCTCATTGCAGCGAAGCACAAACTCAGAGGCAGGTCCATTCTGCCCTGAGTCAGCATATGCTCTGTGTCTGTCAGAACTCCTTCCATCTCTGGATCATTCAACCCTTTCAAATGCTGCACCAACCACACAAGGGTAAGACAATCTATCCTCCTGTAACAACAAAGAGCATTTTAACTGTCTTAATGAATTAACATCTGTTAATAAGGCATGTGGTGTTGGGATGCAAATTTCTTGGCTATATCATGGAAGCACTTGGAAGGGAGTATAATCTTGGCCTGTTTCAGTACAGAATCAAACATAACATAACAGACGCACTCATGTTCTTGTTAAATCATATTACACATCATAAAAACAAGACAGTTTTTTGACAACAAGCAAATTATTACCAAATGCCTTCTCCATACATTTTTCTGATATATTTGAAAGAAAGAAGGTTTCAAACCATAGAGCGGGCCTTAAAATAAGACTGAAAAACAACATCTCACATACTTTTACTCATTCTATCAAACAATGGAAAAAGTTAAGAATGTCAATCCATAAGACAATTATGACCGAAAATGCATGCTTCTCTTCGCTTCATGGTAGGAAAACTCAGCAACATCATTTACTATTCTTAATTATGACAACAGGTGGTTGATCACAACAAAATAATCAATGACTAAAGATAACTAGAATTTTGGATACTTTATGTGCTGCAAACTTAGAAAATCATAGTATTTAGTTATGTGCAGTGACAGAATTTGAAAAAGATTGCTGTTAAAACTTTTGCTTACCTGAAGAAGGTTGTTCATGAGTATCGTCCCATCTCCAACATTTGATTGGACAATATTTAAAAACGCAGTTCGGTTCAAACGTAGGAGCTGACTCAACCGTTTGGTTCGAACTGTAAATAATTGTGGCCTGTAACAAAGCACACCAATCTCACCAACAACTTCTCCAGTCACCGCCTCACCAACAACCTGCAATCTTGTATTCGAAATTGCAAGTTAGCAGTTGTTATGGTAAGCAAGCTCTAATTATAAATTTCTAGCTCAATACAACTGATGAAATTGGTGGAAAGAAATCAGAAACATTTAAATCACCGAACTTGCCTGCTCTATTCCATTCCTTCGCACGATAAGTTCCTGCAAAGTAGATTTGTAAAAAAGTAAATAAAAAAGTTACCCTAGAAAATGATGATCTGGGTTCCAAATAAGATCACACAAAGAGAAATAAATGCTATGTCATCCAAACTCAATGGAATTCATGCAAGATAAAAGTTTCTAGCAATTTTTCTTCACCTCGGAGAGACATTAGAGGTTTACATTCTTGATCTATCATGCTTTGAAACCACATGCATGGGACATGAAGAGGGTTGGGAGGAAGGGAGGTTAAGTTCTTACCACCGCACCAGTGACCAAAATATATAAATCTGTTGGTGCTTCATTTTGTAAAATTACATCTTCTCTGGGTGGAAAGTATTCAGCTTTCATCTCTGTGACCTTCAATATTAAACAATTTCAAGTTACAGATATAGAACCAAAAAATCAGATACGCAAATATGACTTGTCAACATAGGAGCTTGAAAACACAACATTTATGGCTTCTTTCACATGGAAAACATTAAAAAGCTTCAGCAGTTTTTCCTTAACCCATCAAGAAGATGAAGTAAGAGAATTACCAGTTGGAAGAGCAAGTCATTCGATACCCCACGAAACAAGTACACCCTATCTACAAGTGAATAAAAAAGATAGTTGGAAATGCTTGATCGAATTGCTTTAGGAAGAGAATCGATGGTCTCTTGTTGATGCAATCCCTCCGAATTAGCTCTGTACTTCAAACTCAAATGAGCAAGCATCTGTTCTTGTAACCTAACAGGAAGGTGGTTCCTTTGTGCAAAACTTGAGGCAGCTTGGATGGTGTCTCTCTGAAATTCCATACAAGTGATCTCAACAATTTTAAAAACTCTCAACACAATCGAAGACCAAATGATTAAGACAAAGGTACTTCATTTAAGCAGTGTTACTAAAACTACCACAGGCTTGCTAAGCAATCAAAACACAAATTATAAGACAAGTTACTTACAAATTGCCTGGTTCGATAGGTCGCATGGACAACCAAATTGGTCATGTTTCCGATTAAATAGGACGTCAGTCCAAGATTGAACATCATGTAGAACATGATAAATACCATCTCATTTGGATTAACAGCATGCAAATCACCATATCCAGTGGTAGTCAGCGTGGTTGTAGACCAGTAAAGTGCTATGACATAACGATTCCACAAGCTCTGGGTATGAAAATCTTCCCAAACGGACCCGATCCATGTCTTACTTGGAACCTTGTACTTTGCAGCAAAATGATAGAGGAAGCAACCGGCCATGTGAACTACAAATAGAGTAACCTACAATTACATCATAATCCTGATAAGATAGATAGTTTTTTCAAGAGGCTCAGAAATTTTATGAAAATCACCCAAATCGAAGTTCTAGTTAGTACATATACTCACACATATGAGCTTCACGCATCGAACCAGAAAGTAGCTGTAGTTCCTATCCTTTTCCAACCTGATGCAAGGAAAGAATGAGAACGATGAAGTAGATGAAACAAAAGGCTGAAGATGGCATTTACCTTGCGAAAAAGTGACTAACTCGGCGGAGACGCCAAAGGCGAAGCATGCTAAAGTACCCATATGACTGTAATTTATCAGGCAATATTTCCCTGACAAGTTCAGATGGGATTGTAGAGATAACATCAAAGAACAACCCGGATTTTGCATACTTGTAAGCAATCTTTCTTCGTTCATCAACTAGTAGATAAGAATTTTTGTCAAGGTATGCAACAAAGAAGGTCAAAATGATATCGATGGCAAAAAATCCATTGACGACATTATCTGTTATGGCTAGACCCCCACTGGGTTGGCTAACGTAACCAAATTCAAATGCAGACGCCCATGCTGTGTAGAAAACTAGAAACACCAAGAAAGTATCCCATGCTCTGCAACATTAAACATTAAACATTCATTCTTCAGCTATAACCGAAAATTCTGCAATTAAAAAACAAATAAAGTTATCTAATGCATTGTCAACTTTAAAAAAGAAGCATAGAAATTAATAACAATTTTCCAAACACATAATATCTCAACATTACTGTGATATGAGAAAGTATTGTCCGAACTTGTTCATGAAAACCAAACCAATCGCATTACACGATATAATAATACTCGAATCCATTGCACCAACAATTTTACTCCACGTTATATCTTATGGATGGAATGTGTGGCTTTTTATGCCCCTTTTTTTTTTTTTCAAAACCGTGGTTTTACAAATCTTGGAATTTCATTCCGGTGTTTGAAATTCCAAACCAGCTTTCTGACTCAAAACCTGCTTTTTATCATCATATCAATATTCCAAAAAAACACACACCAAAATAAATAAATAAATGTATATAGCTAGCTAGCTGGTGCAAGAACCTGTAGCGGGAGTCGAATGGAGAGATAATGAAGCGACGGAGATGGACACGGCGGTTGCTACGACCGGTGGCGCCAAGAGAAGGGAGAATCTCACCTGTAAGGCTAAATCGGCTGGCATCATCTCTTGATAATTGCTCATATTCTTTCTCACGAACTCCATTTCCTTCTTCACTTCCTTCTGCACTTCCGTAAAGGCTTACATTATCTATTCCTTCTCCTTGTCCACAAAACAACACCCTTTTCTTCTTCGACATTGTTTTTTCCACTCAATTCTCAGAATCAAGAAAAACTTTACCACTAAAAACAAAAACAACCCCTTTTTTCCTTTGAAAGATTTATTTGTTTTGTGCTATTTTTCTGCCATTGTCGTTTGCATGTTGGATTTTTGCCTCTCTTTCATTTCTCATCTCTAGGTATGCGCTGTTTACCCAGTGTTTTTTTGGATAGGTGTCGCGGCTGTTAGGCCCGTTACGTGACTGGAAATGTTCTTCAGCTGCACTTATGACGCTTGTCCCTCCATATACTGTTTTTTACTCTTTTTTTCTAATTCTAAAATCAGGGTCCTAAATTCGAGTTTTTTTTTTTTTTTGGTTGAATTTATCCTCGTTTTTTCAGAAAGAAAAACACAACTCCAATAATTAGAAGTTTGTTAGGACACTGCCTACTAACTAAATTTTTTAGGATACTGTATTGAGTTGTAACTCAACTGGAATTAGTGTTTATATATATATATATATATATATATATATATATATAAGATTTCGAGTGCAGAAAAAAAAATTATTAGGATACTTGGAAAACACACAAAATGTATAAATTTATTTTTTTTTTAGAAACAGAAATTAAATATTTCTTTGTTTTGGATTTTTTCTTTTTCTGTAAAATGGCAAATAACCACCATTATTGCAATTTTATAAAACCATTTTATTTAGTATTGAAATTTTTTAACAATCGGCTTTTTACGTTTTTGTTTTAAAAAAAATTCTATGTATGTGTGCTATTGGGTCACAAATTTAGCTAGAGAGCTCAAAAATCGTTCATAGCTAGGGTTATAAATCAAATCATGCATAGCTAACTAGGGTTAATTATAAATCAATCTCAATATTTTCAATTTCAATTTCAACAATTGCATGCAAAATGTAATCATTTTCCCTTGTTTCATTGAGATGGCAAATGTGCACGGTTGCTTTATCTCTAAGAATCCAATGCACGCATGAAAAATACATATTAGTAAGGTTTTGGAAAAAATAGAAAGACAAAAGGAGGTGGAGAGAAATGGAGGTGTATAAAAAAGATTGAGAGAGGAGGGAGAATGCCTAAGATAGAAGAGAGCAATATTTTAATCATTAATTATCAAACTTTATATAAAATTATTAAAATTTTAAATTAATACTAACATTTATTTTATTTCGATAAACATTTTCATTTATTTTTTAATAAAATTAAAATAATTTATTAAATATCAATAAAAAAAATATATTCAATATTTAAATGAATAATACATATGAGGGGGAAAAATAGTTTGATTTTAAATAGCGAGTCTAAATTATAAAATTCTTATTAATGATGTAATTCAATATGTCTATCTCTCTCCTCAAAGTAGATTTATGGAGTAACTATCGTACATCTGTACATGTCATTAGTTACTCCTTATACATTATAAAATTTCTCTTCTCTTATGTATTTAAAGACTAAATGATGCAAATATTTCTTAAATTTTAAGTCATTTGCAAATTGGTCTCTCAACTTTTAATTTCAAATTGGATCTCTCTTCAATTATTTTTATTTGAAATTAGATTTTTCTCGTTATGTTTTTATTAATTCTAATCTGTAAGTATAATTTTTCAATAGCTAAGAACATGTCAAAACTTATGGATACTTTATTTTTCTTCTTAAAACTTTTTTTTCCTCCTAAATACTAAGAAAGAAGCAACTAAAGAATATTTTAAAAAGAAAAAAACAAGTTTTGAAGAGAAAAAGAAAACATCTATAAGTTTTGGAATATATTTAGCTATTAATTATAAAAGTTTAAAGTCAACTACATACAAGTTACATATATTTTCTCTATTAAAATTGATGAAAACCTAATACAAAAACTCATGAAAAAATAGTTAAAAGTAAGTCCAACTCGAAATTAAAAGTTAAAAATTTGATTTTCAAATAACCTAAACTTCAAAAAAAAAAAAAAGTTATTTATCCATATTTAAATTCTGAATGATAAGATAATAATTAGCAAACTAAATTACCAATAAATCAAGTTTTCTAAATATCAATTTTTAGAGACTGCCATTGCTTTTTGTCATCAATTCATCTCCAACCTTCTACTCACCATTGGTCACCATCAAAGGTTACACTTGTTTTTCCAAACTCATCAACTTTAAAGTTAACAAGTGAAAATAGAATGATTGGCCAAAGTCAATTACTAATTAGCTTTGCCTACCTAAACATCTAATCTTTTCTGTGCTTCATTGCGAATTAGCAAAATAAGCTTTGAACAAATCCACGTAATATAAAACTTTACAATGATTTCTCATAGGATCATAAGACTTGCTTTACAATAATATATAGATTTTCTCCGAACATTGATTAGGGGTTGATTCGAAATCTATCATGCGGGTCCAAAGACAACATGGCTTGTCAAATATGAAAGCAGCAGCAGCACAAACGTGAACGGCCACTGTTGTTTTCCTCTTCCTTTGATCTAAAGCCAGCATGCCCCTTTCAACTCTCTTACATCGAAGTTCTGAAATCCATATAATAAAATAAATAAATAAAAATAAAAATTTATGCTTGTCACTGAAGCAATATTTTTTTCTCAAAAGGCAATCAAAAAATGGGATCCTTAATCTTTCATGGGCCATCAATTTTACAAAGCTGTCGGCATGCAGTGAGTCAATTGTGATATTGGGAGACAAGAATAAATCAATGATAAAGGTGTGATGATGTTCTTCCACTGTCAAAGGCCTGAAATCAAGAGAAACATGTCGTGGACAAGATTTCCCCTCTCCAAAAATCAAAGTGACCACTCCATTTCAGTCACAAGGAACTTGAATTTGCTTTAACGATCTTTATGGTATTGATTTTTAATTAAAAAAAAAAAAACATGTTCATTGTTTCAATTTGAATAATTGGATACTTATAATTTGATCCGTTAGGCAGCAAAGGTTCCTCCGTCTATAATCAACTCAATTTTCCGTTAATTTTAAAAGGAAGTGATGACATGTGTTAGCTTTTTATTGGTTCTAATTACAAAAAAAAAATTGCAATTTAAAATAAAGCAGAGAATTTTTTTTCCGACTTTTTATTTATTTGTAGCTGTAAATTATTTTTTGAATTTTTATTTACGTTGGAAAATATTTTTTTCTTTATTTTGAATGATTTAAGAATTTTTGTTATTTTTTATTAATTTATGCTAGATTCTTTTTTATTTTTTTCTATTTACTTTCAAATGTCATAAGAAAAACGTTAGGAAAAAAATAAATTTCATGTAAAAATTATAAAATCTCGGACACATAAAACCAAAATATTTATGAAAAATAAAATTGAAAAATGATGTCTATGGAAAAAAAATAACAAAATTGAATCAATTATGTTTTTCTTCAATAAATTCATAATTGTATCCTTTCAAATTATAAATTTCTTTTTTTAAAAAAGCCCACTTTTTATAAAGTAAAAAAAAAATTTTAAAACAATTTTTTAAGGCAAATAAATAAATAGTTAGAGAAAAAATAAAATTATAAAAAATAATAATAAAATTATCATAATTATTAAAAAATGAACAAAAAAATTGTAATCTCTTTTTGAAGTTTTTTCTTCCTGAAATAAATTTTTTTAAAAAAATCGATGCAAATAAAAGTATTAAAAATATAGCTATAAATAAATAAGTTGGCAAATATTTTTAAAACAATTTTATTTTTTTTATTTTTATGAATTTTAAATCATTTTTTTCTAAAAATAGAAGCAATAGGAAACTAACATGTGTCCTCCTTTTGTTTTAAAAGTAAAAATTAATGGAAATTTAGATTCATTATAGACGGAGAAACCTATGTTGTCTAATAAACCAAACAAAAAAGATTTAATTGTTCAAATTGAAACCAAAAAGGTAATATGTCAAACATCGATACCAGAGACTTCTGTTGTCTAAAAAACAAAACATATGATAGCAATTGATTCAAAATAAAGTAGAAGAGAGAAGAAAAAGACAGGAGAAGAAAGGGGGAGGAAGGAGAGGAGAAGGAGACAAAATCTGTTATATTCCTGTATGGAGAAGAGGAGAAGGAGGTAAAATCTGTTATATTCCTGTATTTAATTCATTGTTTTTCTCTTCTTTATACTAGTCTTCGTTGACAATGACATAAAACAATATGATAAAAATAAATAACACATAAAATATCTCAACTAATAATAAAGATCCAAACCCAACACAATTTAAATCTACGGTGACAATAATTCGAGTCCAGCCCAATTTAATCGACACATCTTCAGATAAAATTAATGAATCTCTAATTTCCAATTTGATTAAGTTCTTTAAACCCATGGTGTTTGATAAAACTAAATATTAAGTGTTAAATGTATTAAGTATTGAATTTTAAGTATCGAATATATTACCGACAACTTATTTGATATTTACTGAAAATTAATTATTGAATATAATAAGGTTGTTTAATAAACATTGTTGTTGAATATATTAAAACTATATTTCAAGTAGATGAGATCTTAAAGAATTTGAGGTGTCTTCGAAATAATTATCGAAGGCTATATAGTTATATTTAAAATAAAAATTAAAAAAATTTTCAACTAAAAGTATTAATCAAAAAATTTAAAGTTAAAAAATTTAATTCATATAATTAAGTCGATTTTGGCTGAATTTAAATTTTAAATATAAAATTATTTAAATTATCAAATAATTTTTTTATATTAAATACTACAGCTTAATTTTTTAAGTTATCTAACACATCATTAGATCTAGATCAGATTTGACAATTATGGTTGGCAAGGTAGGAAGTACACAATTGAAGCCGAATTCCACACTTTCTTCCCTGCTTGGGGCTAAAAAAAAGATTGCAAAAACCTTTTTTTTTTTTTTTTAATCATAATATCTAGTAAAATCTGTTCTAGGGCCCAAGTTATGATCAATAGACAATCGATTCTGTGAAATTTGTTGGGCTCACTTTCAGTTTTCCCCATTTTGCATGTGAGATTGTAGTTGTCAGGGACTCTCGCACGTGCAGTTGTTTGCCAGAAGAATCTTGCAATTCTATTCATCCAAAAAAGAATCTTGCATTTCTGGTATCAATTCCTTTTTTTTTTTTTCGCTTGATCGGGAATGGAATCAATTTAATCGTACCATCATAATCTTTTTCACACGTTACTGTGAAAATCGATCCATTGTATGAAAAGTTCTTGGCGTTGTCTCTCACTGTCTCCCCCACAAATGAGATTCTCATTCTGGTGATCCTTAGGTAATGCTCTCACCTCAACTTCATGGCTAAGTTTCGGAGATTAAAGAGGTTTGTTTCTCTTTTTATTTTTTTATATCAAATCTTGACATATACCAACGAAAAATTTATTTTCAAAATAGATGAGAATATGTTTTTAAAATTATATGGGAGAGAATTTAGTATTTGTTGATAAAAAATAACTCGTATCATCAAAATAAATAAAATGCTCTCATCTTTTTCGATACCTCCTATATTTAGTTCATTTTTCCCCTTCAAATAACGAGAAATTATAACTAGTTATTAATAAATCTATATTATTAGCAAGAAAAACTTACCAATTGATTCTTCATGTTTTTTTTTAATCTTCGGTATGTCTCGGACCTAAAAGTCCGGACTAATCTTGTAGATGGTGTTTAATAAAACTGAAAATTAAGTATTGAATCTGTTAAAGTACTAAATAATTAAATATCTGAATATTTCTATCGACAAACTGTTTGATATTTACTATGCTAAATATAATAAGTTTGTTTAATAAATACTCATTGCTTGATCATATTAAAGCTATGTATATGATAATTTTAATCTTGTAATTATAATATAATATTTTTGTAACATAAATAAAAACCAATCCCAATAAGAATAAATTTGCTCGAACAAATTACTGCTCATTTTCATGATATAAGTATTTCAGCTTTAAATTTTCATATTAAAACTATATACATGATAATTTTAACTTTGTAATTATAATATAATATTTTTTTAACATAAATAAAAACCAATCCCAATAAAAATAAATTTGTCCGAACAAATTGATTAATCTCTGTTCAAAAACCATGTGAATTTCACTTTAAATTCAATACACCCAAAAAAAAAAAAAATCCCTAAAATAAAACACAGGATTGAATATATCAAAGACCTCTCTACCTTTCGGTGTACCTATATGCTGTCTGTCGATTCACATAACAAAAATAAAGAGAGAAAAAAAATTATTCATTGATGTGAGTTCACCGAGAATAAAGGTAACCAAATAATAAAAATAAAGAAATAAACTATTATTCATTACTATCAGTCGAGTACATTGGCGAGATTTCATAGAGAAATAAAGTAGAGATACCTCGAGGAATTTATGAGCAAGAACAAGATCATGATCGAAGCAGGAACTATCTGCCATCGAAGTTTGTCAATAAAAATCGAACCAACACGCAGTAGTTGAAATCCGTGCCAGCTAAATTTACGTTCTTTATAATATAAAATTTCACAAAAATTAAATTTTTTTTATATTTGAGATACTTATTTAGCTTTCTTTTAACTAGTAACTTATTGATAACGATGGGATGAAAGCATTAATAATGAAAAAGGATTTCTCCATTTCGATGATGGAGATAATAGAGATAGTTTCTTAATCGGTTTGTATAATTAGGGTTTTAAAAATCTTTCAATTCAACGTGTTAATAAAAAAAATTTTAAATTAATAACTTTAACTTATATAGATTTTGACTGAATTTAAATTTTAAATATAAAATTATTTAAATTATCAAATAAATTTTTTATATTAAGTACTGTAACTTAATTTTTTAAATTATTTAAATAAGTTATCAAATACATTTTTACTTTTCGATCGAATACATAAGACGAATATATTCAAAAAAATTTTTTTACATATATAAAGACTCAAGATCAAAACTATTTATTTAAATAATTAAAATTCTTTTTGTTCAAACCAACTATACACTAGTTTTTACTTTTTAAATCTTAGTAAAAACAATTGGATGGGTCCGGAGATGTGCATCATTAAACTCAAGTTTGTTTTGCCGATTGATATTGAAGTCTTCTTGGTTGGACATATACATGCCTAATCCCTTAGCCCAAGAAAAAAAAGAAAGCCCAACTAACCACAACCGAAATATAAAATTAATGTCTGGGCCATTACTCAGTAACACCGAGGCCTTTCCTTTTTGGGCCAATGTAGCCCAATTTTACAAATAACGATTGGGCCTAAAAAATCTCGAACAATTCTACCCGATTCTTCCAGGGGAAAAAAAAACAGAGAGAGAGGGAGAGAGATTCATAAAAAGAGGGGACAGAGCAGCCAGACTTCAATCTATCACCCAGCTGAAAAAACTTGCAGCGGCAAGCGAGAGGGAAACACGCACACATACATTCCAAAATGTCGTCGTTTTTGAAGTCATTCATCGATCCAAGGAAGAACTGGTTGGCTAAACAACACATGAAAGCTATCTCCACTCGCCTCCGCAGATACGGTCAGTTACTTTCCTTATCAAAACCCTAGTTTCCTTTTCTTTATCGTTTCAATGACAATTTTACAAATTCATTATAATTTTTTGTGTTTTAATTTATTGAATTGGATTTAATCAGGGCTCCGATACGATGATCTGTACGACCCTTATTACGATCTGGATATCAAGGAGGCGCTTAATCGGCTCCCGAGAGAGATCGTTGACGCCCGTCATCAGCGACTGAAGCGTGCCATGGACCTCTCCATGAAGCACGAGTATCTTCCTGAGGACCTTCAGGTATACATATATTTTTATTATTAAGTACTAATTTCTATCATTTTTGTGTTCGGTTTTAGAATTTTATTGATTTTGATTGATTACTTGGTGTTTTTTAATTAATCATGGCATTCATAGTTGAATCGTTGCGATAAAAATGTTGCTTCGTTTTTTTTTTTGGTAAAATAGTGTAAATTATCTTTCTACTGTTCATTGTATTACTTTTGTATATTTCCTATTGGACATTTTTTGATGATGTTCGTGTATGTACTTGTGTGATTAAGTAATGACAGGCATGGCGTGGGCGTATGTGTTGGATTATAAATGCATTCGGTTGATGGATGCTTCATGCATTCGCTATTGTTGATTTGTTATGCAATATGTGTTCTTTAATGGTACTTTTTGAGGTCTAAGGAGTTTTTTGTGTGTTTTTGTTGGACTTTTGTAGGCAATGCAAACACCATTCAGGGGCTACCTGCAAGAAATGTTGACCTTTGTAAGTAAATTCCAGCCTATTGGCATCTTTATATCTTTTGCTTGTGCGTTTGCTTTGTTTTTAGTTAGTGTGCCAAGTCATAGGCTAGATGAATAAATGGTTGTTTTCATTTTTACTTTACTTTCCTGTTGTGGAACTCTTTTGAATTGGGAGTTGTCACATGCTTGATAATACAATAGCTATTGTTACTTGTTGTTTTTCCATAAAAAATTGCCTATATGACTTTTAATTTATAATGCCCTGGCTGCTGTCTGGTCTCTATCTCACTGGCATGTTGCTGCACTGATAGAAATTAGTCTTTTGGCTGTGTTAGTTCTTTGATTCAGGCAAGATTTTGCACTGCAAGTTCATTGCCATTATTTTTGCAGCAACTATCTGCTTATCCTATATTCAGACCAAAATAAAATGCAGGATGCATTTATTCTTCTATTGAAATTCTCATACTCGCAGCTTTGTGCTGCAACATTATCACATGAACAAGATGGAAATATTATAAGGTTTTAAGTCTTGCAAGTCTCAAAAATTTGGGCATAGCCACAGGGAGACATGCTGCATTTGTGAATCTACAACATATAGAGTTAATTACAGTGGTGTGTCCGTTAAAGTCTAGAACCAGTGAGAACATTATGTACAATTTTGTCCCAAAGAATTGTCACATATTGCATCTTTTATGTAAATGAGTATGTTCTTTATTAGTGGATGCTAGTATTGGACACAACTTTACGGGCTGCATCATCTAGTCCATAGAAGTGGCCTTCTGATTATATGTGCCTGATTGTGCTGTACTTTCTTATCGGGGTGCTTAGTCAGCTATTTGCATCATTCTGGTTCCATAGCGAGCAGATTTTTCTTGTTTGTCTAGATGAATTTATCTTAATAATTTATGAGTCTGTTATTGAGTTCTTGCTGCATTAAAACTAATTCAGCTCCTGTATTGTGGACTTTTTAACTGAAAGGTAGCAAATGAGAGAATTTGTTTTGCTAGGTATGGAGGTTATAAAAAATTGCTTCATTTAGGAAAAATTTTATTGTGTTTGGCATGAATTTCTCAGATAAGTGGACTTACCTAAACTTAGAAACAAGCTACCACTTTAGTTTTTCATCTATATGTCTAGCTTAATTCAATTTGTTGCTAGATGAGTTCTTATATGGAAGTTGTTCTTCGATTAAAGTCTGGTACAAAGCTGCTGCTTTGACCTGTACAATTTCAAATGCGTTGGCTTTTCCTTTTATCTTTATTGCATGTATTCATTTCAGTTTGGAAAATGTCTTTGCTTTCATGCTGGACGCATCATGGTGATTGATGTTTATGCTACATCATCTGTCAAGATTTGGATTGTTCATGATGGATTCTGTTAAACATTGCAGATTTTGGCATTGTTTTCTATCTTATTGGGAATCGATCGTCCCATTTTTAGATCAAATTTATGCAAATGAATAAGCTTGATATCATTTATGACAACTTTTTGTTTCAGTATTATGGATTTATTTCCTATTTCTCTTTCATTATGATTTTTTGGATCCAAAATTTAGATGGACTTTGTCTAGATGAATTATCTAAGAATAAATTGATGAAAGAATAAGGTGCATGCAAGTACATGGGAAGCATTGTTAAGGATGCATACAAAATTTTAGGAATTAAATAAGCTTGGGGTAGAAACGCATTCATACTTTGTTTTGCTCTGGGGAATGTAATTAGATTAAGGTTTTGTTACTGCAAAAACAAGAACAAATCGGGTGTTGAATTGAAGATATTAATAAAGAATGTCTGACGTAAATTAACCGAAACCTGCTTAACAGGCTGTGTTAAAACGAGTTGTTTGATCATGTTTTGCAGGTGAAGAAGGAGAATGCAGAACGTGAGGCTTTGGGAGCCCTGCCTCTTTACGAGCGCTCCATTCCTTAGTTTCTTAGCATCCCCCATGTCCATTTCTTATTGAAGTAAATCTTGTTGAAAGTTTATTCATATATGTTAGAATGTTCCGGTTGCAGAAAGGGAGATGGATTATCTCTCTGCTTGATAAGTTGTTTTCGCAATCATTTTGTGGTGGTGGTTAAATGGTATTTACTAGAGTTGTTTTTTACCAACCTTTTTTCCAATAATCATGTAGAACACTGCTATTTAACTTCCATTTTGGTTAACTGCAATAAAAAGGATTGTCCGTTTCTTTGATGTACTATTTGCAGCAGATTTACGATCGCTTGAAGCATTTGCCATTTTTACCCAGAAACAAGGCTGTGTTGGCTATGATTTCATTTGTCCCTTCTGGTAGCAGATGCCGGCAAAGAAAGACAAAGCCCGGTGTGAGCCACTTTGCATGGTTACACGTCGCATGTTAATGGTTATCTTTTTTTTTTTTTTGGTTGTTGTTGTTCTAGAGGTTAGTTGATATATTCTATTTTTGTTATTGCCTCACTCACGAGTACAATAAATCGCAAATCTATCTGACGATGTCCATATGGGTGTCCAGATGGGGTGTGGTGGAAATAGTCATGGACTGAGGTCGCCATTTTTATTTAACCCTTTGGAATATGCTGTATAACAGCATGGGGGCTTTAGCATGTATAATAATAGGTGAGGTCTGAAATTACCTTCTCAAACAATGTTCCTATTTTTGAGGGTTATAAAAGTTCCTGCTTTCAGTTTCGTTTTTCTTACAGCAAGTGTAGGAAATTTGAAAGTGAAAGGACCCAGTGCTTCAAGTTTCAGTCCTTTTCTCGAACCCCAGTACCCTATAGCAGTTGATTGTACTTCCTCGTTGGATCTTACGTTTGAACTTTGAATGGTTTATGCTGTTTAATTTGTCTATTTTTCGTCTGTTAACAAGCACAAAAAGGATGGAAAAAATGAAACTTTTGCCGCATTTACTTGTGGCAAGGAAGAAATCCATTTGTTCTTGTATAAGCCTCCGAAATCGATAGCATTATGCAACAGATGATTTTTGACACCAGGATTTTAGACCCAATCATATGAACTGGTAACTAAAATTACGTCCACAAACTTCCTTCCCACCTTTTACGGGTTTGTCTCCATCATTGTGTCCATGTGCAAGTGCTCTCACGTTCATTTGCATTCTTTCTTGTCCCTGCCTTGAGGTGACTGCTTACATGGGTGTGTTAAGGATCAATCTATTGTCCTTTCAAGCAGTGAAAAGAAATGAATGACTGCCTTTAGATGTGGCGGCTGGTGCAGCATTATTGCCCTTGCAAACCCAAATCAATAGTGCATTTAGTGACTCCATATAGCTCAGTTCTTCTGAAGGACGACCATAAAAAAATGTGTGAGAAATGTATGTACAGTTTGAGGGAAAAAAAATTAAAATTACCTCTTCAATATATATCATTCGAATTGGACTAGAACTTGCCAAGTTGAGAGCAGAGGTTTTTCCCTGTTGTATGATAGGTACAGATCTTTTGTCATCATCTTTTGTGTCTCCATAAGTTAGAAATTCCTATCTGCTAATGAAGATTTCCATGTGACAACATGAACCTATGCTTTAATGAGAAGGCTTGTCTTGCAATAAAATACCACCTTCCTTCTTGTCTCTTGGATACAACAGGTATCTCTCTCAGATTATTTGTTAATAGTTAAAACAAGACTTTTGGGACTTCGGCACAGAATGTCACTACTCACTGGTGAAAGTAACAAGAGTATTTCCCCAAATAAAGGTTTTCGACCTAATGGTGATTAGGGAAAGTAGTCACTTTTTTCATGTAGAAAAAATATATATCATCTTAAAGATGCACATATACCAAAGAAGTACCATCCCAGGATAAGGAAGAATCTAAATGTTTAGACTGAAGATAGATCACAAAAATCAATGCTATAAATTTGGAACTGGATTTGTCAGTTGTTAGAATGTCAATCTTCAATCATTGAAAGTAGGAGGGCTATCTCACTCTGTTAATAAATTGAAAACCAACCATCTCGATCTCAAATCCAGTGACGATCCATTTCACGTGGAAACTCGATCTATGTCCCCACACCCCCCCCCCCCCCTCTCTTTTTCCATCACCATTTTTGAGCACCGACAAGTTAAAAAAAAAAAAAAAAAAAACAGTAGTAGAAAGAAAGGGAAGAGGATATTTGTGATAGTTAGTAAAATGATGCTGCTGAAGGACTTTCCCAAAAAAAAAAAAAAAGAATAGGGGAAAATGAGGGATATCAACCTCGAAATGAGACGAATATGTGCTTGATTTGATTGCCAGAGGTAGCTGAATACATCTCAATCAACAATTCAATGAACTTTCATTTCGCAATTATAGAGATCATGTGGACATACGTAAGATTGCCGAGAAGATCATATTAGGACAGTGTAGAATCACATGAAAATGTTTGCATCATCATGTCTCACTAAGGCTGTCTACATGTTATTAATTATGGAAGGCAGATACAAAGATTACATATGACTACAACTATCTCTGAGCAATTTCAAGTTCCATTACTGACCTAAATTACAACAATTTGCAGGTAAGAGTCTATCCCCCGTCCTACCACCCCTCCCTTTCCCCATATTTAATAGCAAAAAATCTGTCATTCTTTCAACTCAAAAACCTCGTTTCAGTTGATAATGGAGTAGAGTTGAATACATATTTATTTGGGATTTATCTGATTTATATAAAAAAGATGTGAATCTAAATTTCTTGTCATAAAAAAAAAAAAAAAATACTACGCATGAGAATGTCCATCTTCAAATTAATGGATGGAGTGAATCAGTATAAACTGCTTAAAATATAAATTTTTCAAAATATTTTTCATGGCTATTGACTTCAAATCGATAACTCGTTTGTAAATCTGTCTTTGATTTTCATCATTATTTGATAGTTTTTTCATAATATGCATTTTAATTTAGTCTCAGTTTGAGATTTTTGATAGTTCTTACAACTAAATTTTTGCGTAGGCACAAACTAACAATAATTGAGCGTAATTGTTTGACTATATGTTGATAGGGGTGCCATTCCTTTGTTGAGTTAAAATTATTATATTTGAAAGAAATTTTTAAACAAAACAAAAATGACACTGGATATATAAATTGACATACCAGACTTTTCGCAGAAAAAAAAATATGGAGCCCTTACTTTTGAGTGAATTTCGAAATGGAAGTTCAAAAAAAACAAAAATTGAATAAGAGTTTATTGTTGTTTGTTCATGCAATTGGAAGAGGCAAGAGGCCCTTTTTCTTGGAAGTGGTCATGTGCAGAAAATTATCAAAACACAATTTTAATTAATGCAAGCTACGTGGGCAGTTGAGCCACCGTCTGATTTCTGTAACTGAGGCTCGGTTGGCCGGTTGTCTCTATCGGAAAATCCAGCAAGAGAATCCAACGATAGGGCCGTCATAACTTGTGTCATCTCAAACTCTATCCATCATAAACTGTTATCTCACGCCGCAAACCCTTTTTTTTTTTTTTGTTTTCTATACTGCTCTCCGACGAGTTATCCCTAACAAAATTAAAGAATTCGTGATAATTTTATTTTTTACAACCTAACACGAGTTTGGATCTCGATGAAGAAATATATTTTTTAATCATCAAATTAACTTTTTCATATTGATTTCTAAAAGATAAATATAGGGATCAACTAGATAGATTTGGTTAAAAGAGAATTAATTCTCAAATCAAATTTTTTATAATTTCATAATCTTTGAAATAAATAACTAGTTTTTAATATAAAGAAACTCACATCCATAAAAGAAAAAAATTTCTCTTTTAGATTTTTTTTTAAGTTATCTTATATTGAAGAATTTTATGTATTTAATTTTATTAAAAATCTTGATTCTTTTGTGTTTTTTTTAAAAAAAAGTTGACAAACTTGTCGACTGTCTTTTAGCTCCTTTCATAAGAATCATATTTTACTAGCAGAAAAATGAATTTAATAGCATAATTTATTTTGATTTGAAATTATGATAAAATAAGATTTATATTATTAATCTAGATTATTTGAATTTTAAACTGTTAATTTTTTAATAATTTTTTTATGTCTAACGATCAAAATATGGACAATTAATTAAAATACTTAAAACAACGAAGTTTTAAGCATTTTAATTTTTTTACTAGATGGATCTATTATACATTATTAATTACCAATAATAAAAGTTAAATCCATAAACAACAAAATGTAAAAATTCTTAAATCTAATTATTATTAATTTATTTTTTAAAATTAATTTTAATATAAAAATTTAAGTATTTTAGTTAATGATCAATATTTTATTTGTCATATACGATAGAAAATGAAAAAATATGCTTCAAAATTAATAGTTTGATGTCCAAATTAATAACTCAAATTTACAACATAAACCTTATTTTGCCATAATCGTAATTAATAGTTGAGGATAAATTATGTCGTTAAATCTAGAATAATATGGTTCATTGATAGATTGGCAAAAACTAACAGGTTAATGTTTTTATTAATTATTGGTTAGCAAAAGAAGATGACGAGAGCCATCAAGTGATCCTATATATGATAATCCCCATCGAAATCAGCATCAACATAAGACCCGCCATTTTTATTTATTTATTTATTTTTGCCCACAGCAAATCTGAATACCTTGCATCTGATCATGACTCTACAAGGGGAAAGATGCATGATATTCTGAACAGCTTTCAATAGGATTTCTGACAAAATCTATCCGACAAGGCACTTTTTAAGTGTCAGTTCATCACAATTAAGGGAAGATAACGATGGATTAAGGTAACAACCTTGTTAATCACGAAACTATTACTTGGATATTCATTGGACTATTTGGCTATGGTGTCCTTGAAATGCGAATCAATTAAGCGATCAAGAAATGCTATATATATTTATATAAAAACTGTTTTTAATTGAACAAAACTAAATTCATTATTTTTTAAACTAAATAAATTTTTGAATATATTTTAATTAATCACAAAACTATTACTTAGATATTCTTTCGATTATTTAGCTATGGTGTCCTTAAAATAGGAATCAATTAAGAGATGCAAGAGATAAGAAACAAAACTAAATTTATTATTTTTTGAACTAAATAATCATTTGAATATGTTTTAATTAATCACAAAACTATTACTGAGATATTCATTCGACTATTTAGCTTTTTTCCTTAAGATGGGAATCAATTAAGAGATGCAAGAGATAAAGAAAATGATATATATATATATATATATATATATATATATATAGTATTTTCCTATCTCTTGCATCAGCTCGCTTTTTATTTAATATTATATTCTGATGTAGCCATATTTGGAATTTTTTTGACAAGGGTGGAATTCCCTTTTAAATCAAATCAGCTCAATTTTTATTTAACATTATATTCCAATGTAGCAATATTTGGATTCTTTTCACAAGACTGGAAGTCCCAATGTTTGTCCCATGCAACTTAGAGAACATGAAACTGAACTTCGGATCGACATTTTTGGACTCGTTGATTTATGTCATCCTACTACCGCATATGGCAGTCCTACATTTACCATCTTAAGCAGGAAAAAAAGAAAAAAGTGAAGGGATCATTAGAGATTATCTGATTATGACGTTGAGGACTTGTATCTAAACTTTGGAATTCCTTCTAATAAAACAAAAAGGTCCACATTCAATATTCTATAGGTTAAAAAAAGAAAAAAAGAAGGATTATTGGAACAGTATTTCAATTTTGTTTTTTCGTTTAATTGTTCGTATCCAAACCAGCTGACAAGACCATAAACCTTGAACAACCAAATGTAGATCCTCTAGATCACACAAAAATACATAGAAAGTATGTCAGTAACAACCGAAAATTAGGGCATATATATCCCTATAATTCAGTAGACCCGAATTTTAAGGAAGAAAAAGAATTTCAAAAGGAGTTTATATTAGAATTAGTCTCTATACAGTTTCGACAGTTTCGATTTTTTTTTAGATTGAGAACTTTTATTATTTTTTAACTTGATTAAAACTTTTTATTCATATAAATTTATTGATTAAGATCCTCTCGTTATAACGTTGTTAACTATTCATTTCATATGCCGATCGGGAACCGACATATGAAAATATGTATAAAAAAAAGTTCCCACACGTCGTTGTCTAATTGATTACTTATTAGTTTTAACTTGTCACGTATGATGAATAGTTAATAGCATTATAATAGAGAATTTCAATCAATATATTTGTAAGAATAAAACACTTCAATCATGTTAAAAAATAATAAAAAATTTCAATAAAAAAATAAAATTATTAAAAAATTAATTATAGAATAAACCCATTTAAAAAAGAAAGAGGACAGAGGTCCCTCGATGCCCGGCCAGACCACGGTCGTCCACATGAAGATGATCAAAGAATAGATTAGATGAGGCTGAAGTTGAAGTAAGGCCTACTTTCTTGTATTATTTTTTTCTTTTCAAGCCAAGAAGGCCCACACGCCCCTTCCTCTTCTTGAAAGCCCAGAACCAGCCACGATTTCTTCCCTTCCATTTTGGAAAGGTCGGCTGGGATTTTCAGTATCTCTGCTCTACCGTCACCCTTCTCCAGCCGGGTCCCTCAACCTCCTGATCCACTGACCCACTTTCCTCATGCCATGTTTCTTTCACTTCTTTAACAGAGATCTACTTTTTACTTCAACTCAGCCATTTTGTTTCTAGCATGGGGGTTTTGGTCTTTTGCTTTTTCAGGCATTGGGGATTATGGGAGAATCATTATTGATTTTTGCGGTAATAAGTGAGATTGCTTTCGATAATTGGAAAATTATAGGAGACAAAGCGATGCTCGTAAATGTTTGAATTCAATAATCAATATGTTATTGAGAAAACATGAGAGTGATTCAATCTTTATGAATATATATACATATAATAAATGACGTTTTGTTTCTTATACACAGCATGTTTTCTAACATTCTTCCAAGACAAAACTGGTTTTATTGTTACTGTTTATAAATAATTTTTTTTAATGTTGTCCGAAAATTTACCATCCTTCAATAAAAAAATTGATCTTAAAATCGAAACCGTCACATTCTTAAAACTGGAGCAAGCATGAGAGTTGTCATGGCAAAAAAGAAGAGTGGGAAACAAAAATTAAGGATCCAAGTATCTGGTCTATGGAAGGTCAAAATCTACACCATGTCTAGACAACCTAAGAAAAAGGATCAATGACGCTTGAGGTCATAGCCTAGCAGTTGAGGGCTTGCCTAATGACCATTCGAGTTCGATTCTTTCTATGCACGTCCGTCATTCCTGCGGTGTCTTACTCGTCCATTGGGAGTGGGTCCAGAGATTAATCGTGGTGCGCATAGCTAGCTTGGACATCCTAAATTATCAATCAAAAAAAAAAAAAAAGATCAATGTCTTAAAAGCATAAAAAATATTTTCAATACGGAGAAAAGCTGGCACAGAGACCAAATTTGTCTTGTTTCTTAAGAACTTGGGTCACATGGTTAAAAAAAAATGGCAAAAAAAAAAAAAAAAAAAAAAAAAAAGAGTAAGAAAAGTTGAAGAAATTGGAGAAGGCTTAGATGAGTCAGATGATACTAGATTACTTGTTTGCATATCAAGATTATGTGAAAGACAAAAATTAATGAGACGCGTAAGATTCCTAAGATGCAATTAAGCATAATTAACGGAAGAGGATTTGCCTACCGGTCAAGGAGGCCACCATACTTCCTCCTCAATCATCATCATTCAAATTTCATATTGATTAGATTATGAAAACTAGAATTCTTACTAATTTAATCTTAAAATGATAAGAACATTTTCGAATAATTTGTACGTCAAATAAAACTTAAAATTTTTTTATCTAGTTTTAAAAATAAATTTTTATATCGATCTAATTTATCCATAAAAAATCTTAAAAAATAAACATTATTACAATATGCGAAATTGTAAATTAAAATGGAGGATACCAAATCTTGAACGTAACGGCCTTTAATTAATTGCATGATACTACATAGCATCAATAAGCTTTCAGGGAATAATCAAACTCGACAGAGCACATGATGTGCTTATATACATTCCGCGTTACAGACAAAAGCTAATCAGTTTTTATTAATTAACTGGTTAATGACAAGCTTAACTCATGTCCAATGTTTCCTAACCGATTACATGCATGTTATGGTATAATTGTTCCTATAAATAGAATATTAATGAGGATATCAAGGGTATTTAAATATCCAATAAAGATACGCATTTTGATCATTTGACCAACAAATTAAATTATAAATTGAATTGCATAGCAAAGGATTTTCTATTAATATAGAGGATTTAAATTTTAGAGTCACTCTTTACTATATAAAAAAATAGCAAAATAGCAACATAAAAATCTATCGCTATAACAACAAATTTTGTCACTAAAACGATTTAGCGACGAATTTGCAATCGAAAAAATTCATCTCTAACCTTTGTGACGAAATGTACAATGTTCATCCTAACTTAGCAATGGATTATTCATCGTTAATTTGTTTTATTTTGTCATTAAGTGAATGCTGAAATCGTCATTTTTTCATCATATAATACATCATAAACTGATCTTAAATAACAATGGTTTTACTTTCGTAGTTAATTTTCGATGCTATTCCTTAATTTTTTTGTAGTGCTTGTTAGAAGGAATTAAACTTTATCTCTCTTATTTTAAAAAAGATTAATCATATATGAAAATACCTGAAAAAAAAATTCTATCATTTTTTACGGTGGTTGATTCATATATTAAGGGATTCTTTTATCTTTTCAATGGCTAGGATATCAGTTTATGTACAAAGAAACTATACTTCCTTCTGATTGTATTTTAGATTTTTTTTTTTTTTATGCATGAATTAAGATATTCATAAGAAATTTCTTTTTTGTAATTTCTTCTTAAAATTAAATTCGAAATTAAAATAAATCGACTATCTGGCCTTTCTTATCTTGCATACCCATTATAATGAGTGGAATTTGATCAATTCTGACTTCTTCTTCTTTTTTTCATGCTAAAAGATTAAATAATTTTCTCATAACACTACTCATACTCTGAATTACAAGAAATTTTAATTATATATTTCACATGATAATTACAAGACGAAAATACCCTCTAACTAAATTCATCTAAAGGCAAGAATTGTCCAGGGCATGCATGGTCTGCACAAGCAATGGGGGAGTGAAACCATGTGACCATGAACAGCTTTTGTCTTGGAGTTCTACAAAAAGTGAACGATCTCGTCGCTCTACAAAATGCCACGTGAAGATACCATCATAATGTCAGTTTTGTTATTTCAATGAAATCCAAGGGCTTTTCTAGTTCACAACATGCATATAAGCTCATGCCGCCTCCCTGTCTTTGCACCATATGCGTTCTTTTCTTCCTCTTCTCCAACTTTCTTTCCTTTAGACAAGAAGCTGTAAAAGACTAGAAATGAGAGGAGCCATGCTATTATCGGTGCTACTGGTGACGACTTGCCGCTTTGCCTTTTCTCTCAAAGATGGTAAGCTTTAAAATTTCATGTTTGTCCCGTTTTTTCTTGCTTTCAATTATTTTGGTACATAACGAGCTCTTTCAAAGCATGTTGGTCCACATTTTGGGGGTCGATTTACGTAGTTTGCAAAGTCTATTGTGCATATATGCTCAAGGTCTCTTCCAGCCATATTTTGCTACTGTTAGCAACTGATTTTTCAAAGCATTGCTCAGAATTGATTGACACAAATCACCATTATTTGAATATAAAAGAAAGGATCTAATTCGAAACGTCTGCCGAGAAAGGAACATAATCTGATTTGTAAGTTCATTAGGGACCAAAAATATTGGATCCATATCGCATATGCATATATTTGTGATGATCTTCATAGTCAAGTAGTACTTAATTTAGTACTAATTCTTTTCTTTTCTTTTTTTCCTTCCACCATTCACGAACTTATAAATTGCATAGCCACAAAGTTTCTTTCTAGCAAAAGTTTGGAGATTTCGAGTCTTGCACTGTTGGTGATGCTCAGAAACAGAGTCGCAGTTGAAATTGAAAGAAGAAACAGTGGTTTTTTTATTATTATTATTGGTTTGATTTTGCAGCATATTGCCTGCTTCGTGATCATAGGCTAGGCTCTAGCCTATCTTCTGTAGAAGCAGAATGGGCCCACTTCATGGCCAGCTTTCCAGGCTGAGCCAGTGAGGCACATGATCATTAATTTCTATCTAGGTATAGTAGACAGGACATAGACAATACCAGAGGCATACCACCTTACTATTTATGTTGTAATAACACGTGACTCTTGTCTCTTTAACGAAACATCTCACTCAAAAATTCTAAAAATTGATTACCCAATTTGACTACTTTTATGCTTCTTTAAAATTTTAATTCTGTATTTTTTTATATTTAAATGTTAAAGAATAATATATAAAAAAAATGTATGAACTGATGTAGTGTTTAATGGATTTTTTCAACCTATTTGAAAAGTCCAGTAGGACCTTCTTCATGGAATGGAGAGATTACTACTTTTTTATACACATTTTTTTTAAAAAAAAATCGAGATTGGATAGTCCGCGTCTCTCATGCCTTGAAAAAGGAGGCTAATAGTACAACGGATTGGCTTGCTTTCAATGTTTATACCCTCCCAATTGGTATTTCTTATTATCAAATGCTTCTTTGGGTTGTGTTAATCTTCTGTTAAAAGATATATTTGTGAAGTTGCAAGTTTAAGAAAGCGTAAAATGAATTATTCTGTTTAAAATTGTCTTTCCTGTGAATAAAAAAAAAAAAATTCGTAATTTTATTCAATTAAACATGACCCAAAATCACCCTGGTTTTGTAAGATATTATATCAAGAGTTAATCTAAAAACATTAAGGTGGTTGGGAAATATACATCATCATGGTTGTGTTAAGTATCATAGCTCTATGATCCAATTATTGTAGATATGAAAACGGGTTTCGTTGAATAAGAATAACCCTCCGTCTCTGCTTAGGATTTTTGAACTAAGAGTTGTGTTTTTGAATGTTTTCATGTTTATTTTTGAAAATGAACATAGTCTCATAGTCTACAATAAATTTGCTTGGAGTTTCAATTTGTCCATCATAATGCAGGACTAGTAGAAAATGGGAACTTCGAGTTTAGCCCGAAGCAATCGGATATGAAAGGAACAGAGTTGATCGGACGCTATGCATTACCAAAATGGGAAATTTCAGGGTTCGTGGAGTACATCAAAGCAGGGCAAAAACAAGGGGACATGTTGCTAGTAGTGCCAGAAGGAGCCTACGCAGTAAGGCTTGGGAATGAGGCATCAATCAAGCAAATACTAAACGTTACAAAGGGAATGTACTATTCCATCACATTTAGTGCAGCTAGAACTTGTGCTCAAGAGGAAAAGTTGAACATATCAGTGTCTCCTGAATGGGGCGTGCTACCAATGCAAACAATGTATAGCAGCAATGGATGGGACTCGTACGCTTGGGCATTCAAAGCCCTGCTTGATGTTGTTGACCTTGTTATTCACAATCCAGGAGTCGAAGAAGATCCTGCTTGCGGTCCTCTAATTGATTCAGTGGCAATTAAAGCTCTATATCCTCCTAAACCAACAAATAGTAAGTTCTTTACAAATCTTATACTCGTTAAAATTATGAGTAGCTGGCATCAATCACCAAGGAAGGATAAAAAAAATATAGGAAAAGTTTTTGGTGTGTAAGTTATTGAGTCCTCATTGAATTATGTCCCTCAATGCCACTGCAATGAGAGACCTACAGGCTACAGGACAGTCTCTCAACTTGATATTTAGCCCTGAAGTAAGTATCAGGGCACTCAAGGACTATCTTCCCCAGGGCCCGTTGCCCCATAATATTTTTGGACTGTCCTCTTAAAGCATAAAAAATTGATACCACTTGTTTTGTAGTCCTTTTCACCAGAGGACAAGTACAGGAAAATGTTTAACTGGTTTTATCAATCCTGCTATATTTTGGAAATGAAAGAATCCTACAGGTCATAAGCTATAATAACTTGGCTCTACGGATTTGAGACATTAATATGCTGAAGTCGCATACTGTCCGCAGAGTGCAGACTGCAACTTGACCTATGCTGAGCCTAGTACTAATGGCTGCTGAATGCTTAGGTGCCATTGCAGTTGTTCCTTTCTGTTTGAACTTTGAATTATTACTCGAACATGGCTACTAGTTATTGCTTCCTGCTATAAACACCAGAAAGTTGAATTAATGCTAACAACTAGTATTTTTATTCTAAATTTTGCAGAGAACATAATGAAAAATTGGGGTTTCGAAGAAGGTCCATATTTGTTCCCTAACGCAACCTCGGGTGTCCTAATCCCACCCAACATTGAAGATAAGCACTCTCCACTCCCTGGCTGGATGGTTGAATCCCTTAAGGCAGTTAAATACATAAATGCAGAAAATTTTTGGGTGCCACAAGGACGATATGCCATAGAACTTGTAGCAGGCAAAGAAAGTGCCATTGCACAAGTAGTCCGCACCATAACCGGCAAAACCTATACCCTCTCATTTTCAGTAGGAGATGCCAACAATTCATGTGAAGGGTCAATGGTTGTCGAGGCGTTTGCTGGCAAGGACACGATCAAAGTTCCCTACGAGTCTAAGGGCAAAGGTGGATTTAAGCGTGCAGTGCTTAAATTTGTTGCTGTTTCTACCAGAACAAGAATAATGTTCTACAGCACATTTTACACCATGAGGAGTGATGACTTCTCTTCTCTGTGTGGACCTGTTATTGACGATGTGAAGCTGTTGAGCCTCCGTGGAACATGAATCATTAGAAGCTAATTAATTAAGGTTATGATGCAAAATTATTAGGTGGTTTGGATGTGTGAATTTCGCCGGTTGCTGTTATACTATATGAATATTTTTGTTATCTAAGAGAAGCAATCAAGGGGTTTCAACTTTCAAGAGTTGCGTTTTTACTTTCAGCATGATATTAATCAAGAAAAATAAGAGTATATATTGCTAATGCCACGCTAGTTTATAGTAGTAGTATTGTGATTTTATGCAAGTGGGGTTATGTGCCATTTTGAGCAAAATAAAAGAAAGAAAGTTTTTTAAGTACTCTTGATATGAATGTTAATCTCCCAAGTCTAGTTTTTGAAATTTGGATAAATTATAAAATATAATTCAAGATGAATAATTTTTTGCTCTATAGCTAAATCAACTCAGATTGCTCTTGCCATGGTTGTAGAAACAAGACAAGCAGCCCAAGTTACAGCCAAAACAGAGTAACTGCACATCCTGCTAGAGGCCAACCCCACTTGATCAACTTTTATAGCCAGTCCCATAGCCATGAGGAAGGAAAGTGCCGTGCTGCAAATCATCCTCCATGTTAGCTAGACAGCCAATGCACTTATTGGCTTCTCTGTAAACAAGAGAGATGGTTACGTACCATTCATCATCTGTCTATGAGCTGTCGACTTGAAATAGACCTCACGAATCAATTGCCCGCCGTATGATCAAGAGTCCGGTAGAAGAAAATCATTCCATTCTGATAGTTCACGTCGAGTCTATTAAAACATATTGATCGAAGGTGGAAAAAAAAAAAAAAACTAAAATTTATAATTTTTTAATCTAAATATTATATTTAATGAATTATTCCTTGTGTTTTTCATATTTTTTTCAACTAATAAAAACATGATTCGTTTTTTTTTATACATTGATTCTAAAATAAAAACCTATAATAATATAAATTAAAAATTTAATCCAAAACACAAAAGCATGCCATCAAAATATATTTTTCATAAAATTATATCAATGTTTTTATTATTATTTTATTTAATATTGATGAGAAGATTATTTTTTGAAAGTATGTACATTTTATTTATATATATTTATTCACAAAATAATCAATAATGTTAGTATAAAAAACTGTAGTTGAATAATTTGATAGTTCTTTTAAAACGTTATTGCAATTATTTTATTTTGAAAAAAATATTTTTATAGTATTAAAAAAATAATAACAAATTGTTAGTGTTATGTGTATAGATGCATAGTTAAATTTTGATAAAATTAATTATTTAATATTTATTTTTATACATCGTGACTATATTTAACGGGTTGAAAATATAAAGTACAAAGCAAAAAATATTAAAAAAATAAATAACAAGTTATCTAAAATAAACTTTTAACCTTTATATTAAATATATTTATAATCATTCTACCATAATTTAAAAATCTATGATATAAATTATATAATTTTTTATTTTTTTAAAAAAAGCATTCATGCTCTAAAAAATTATTCCAAAATCCAAATAAATCCTTTTTATAAGCAAATAAAGTTTTATAAAAAAAAATAAAAATTCATTAGATGAGAAATTTCATAAGAATGACTAATTGAAAGAATAAATTTTAAATAATAAAAATAACATGATATAAAATATATGTTTATTTTAAAAAAATGAAAATATCTTATATATTTCATTTGTATGATCTTTCACCATTTTTTCCTAAAAATCGTCAATAAAATATTTAAAATAAATTATTAGGAAAAAAAACCGCTGAGGGGCAGGCCCCGTGCAGACCGGAGCTAAAATTAAAGAGAGAGAAATAGAAATGGACGACACATCATCCTTTTTCTTTCGAGCATACGTTATGTCGTCTGTATGCAATTTTTAGCCAACACTGGTTGGCCGAAACATTCACCGGAAAAAACAAGTTTTTCTAGTTTCCAGCATCTCTAACCTAAATTCTTTTCTGCTCAAAAAAATCTCAAAATTGCAGATATAAGTTTTACAAACTTGTTTAAAATCTCAAAATCTATTTTAATATATACAAAACACATAAAAATCCGAATTAGTCTTAAAAAAATCAAAATTATTTAGAATGTTGATCAATTTTTTTCAATCAATTTATGATTTATGACCATTATAAACAGATTTTTCTATTCAAAACGAACAAATTGAAGATAATTTCAACGTTGAAGGTGGCCATAATGGGTCTCACGGTCTCTTTCTCTCTCTCTCTTCGGAGGATCCAATGACTAGGTTGTAATAGAAATTAAGTTTAGAATTGAAACAAATTTTTTCTAAAAAAGAAGTACCAAAGTGCAACTTTTTTTTGTCAAAAAGTGGAAATGTGCCGTGCTAGTAAGTCTAAATGCCCAGTGTAAATGGGTTTGACACGATTAGTTCAAATTCTTTCAGAAGGGAATGCTTTGGAATATTTCATTCTTGTAGCAGTCACCGCTTTAGATCCTGCTCCTTTGCAATTTATATTCTGGTTGTGCCATGGAAGAGTATTTTTGTGATAATGGAATGCACGCATTAATAATCTACGATGATCTTAATAAACAGCCGTCGCTTATCGACCAATGTCTTTTTTATTACGAAGACCACCTAGTCGTGAATAGAGATGGCAATCCAACTCATACCGTAGCCGTCTCGCCTTGCCCCGCCCAGAACGAGACACAGAGCAAGAATGGGTTTTTTTCTTTTTTGGGCGAGGCGGGGATGGAGATAGCGATCCCCGCCCCGCCCTGTCTTTTTATCTTTAAAAAAGATAATTTGACGGGGCTTCGCTCCGTTTGGAGTGGAGATATGGAGCGAAATTTCGTCCCGAACAGGACATGGGGTGGGGATGGGTTTTTTTTTTAGTGAACGGGGCGGGGATGGGGATGGCGATCCCCGCCCCACCCCATTGCCATCCCTAGTCGTGAAGCTCATCCAGGAGATATTTTTTATTTGCGTTCACATCTCTTAGAAAGAGCAGCTAAACGATCAGACCAGACAGGTGCAGAGAGCTTGACCGCCTTACCAGTCATTGAAACACAAGCTGGAGACGTATCCGCTTATATTCCAGCAAATGTAATTTCAATAACCGACGGCCAAATCGATTTAGAAACAGAACTCTTTTATAGCGGAATTAGACTTACGATTGGGGAAGAAACGGTTTTTGGGGAGCAAAAGGAAGAAGGCACAGACATGCATTTGCTTCCAATGGGTTAAAAAAATATAGCTGTTCTTCTTTGAAAAAGGATGGTTAGAAGTTCACCAGCAAGGTGGAGGTGGAATGATTCCAATTTCCAGGCATGACGGAATCAAGGAAGATTCTCTGCATCTGAGATCCATTTGCCTTGCTTCTTTCTCTCTGCTGCGACGTTCCCAAGGACCCAAGGAACGGTAAATATTATTCTCATTGTAAAACGCACAGTAAACAAATTAGTCCATTGGGCCTTTTTGACCTTAATGGTAGGGCTAAGCATTTGTACTGCTGATTAAACTTGCCAATCGAGACCCATTTTGATATTGCAGTCCATTGGGTCTTTTTGCCTTTCTTGGCAAGAGATTCATCGAAGAAGAAAGAGTAAATTATAAATTAATCCCCCTAGTTTCAAGAAATAAATTAATTAAACCCTCTTGTTTTAAATATTATTATTTAATTTAATATTATTTTTATTTCATAAAATTTTTTATTTTCCTATCAATCTTTTTCATATGTTTTTAAAAAAATCAAAATAAATTATAAAAACAGAACAATTAAATTAGTAAATTTCAAAACATAAAAATTAAATGATTAGTTTTTAAAATAAAAATGATTAATTTATTTATTTTTCGAAACAAAAGGAGTTAATTTATAATTTACTCAATTAGAAACACTGAAACAAAAAATTGAAAAATAAAAAATACGAGTTTTATTGCTGTGATTACTGATTAGCTATTTATCAGTAAAGGATTACCCTCCCACTTTTGGAAATTCCGCACTACATCTGAATCTACAAAGCTAAAAAATAATTTATACTTCATTAAAAAGACATTTTTTTTGCCTGAAAATATCCCTCACAGAGGCTTAAATCTCACTTCTTTTCCAATTATTATTTTTTCTTATAAAAAAACTAGCATATTTTTTAAAAATCAAAACTAAATGCTTTTTTATCAATTAAATACGCCATATGTTTTTAAATTAACGTGCTTTATTTAGATTCGAATTAAAACTTATTTACTTAAAGATTTTATGCTCATAATAAATTATTAGCTATCTTCGACGTATTATTCTTCCATTCATTTAAAATGAAATCTACCAGAAGAAGAAGTAATTAAATATTTCTGATTTTTTTTTTTTTTACTTGCGTAATCAGATTCCTTTTTATTTTCATTTCTTGATAACAAAAGATTGGGCCCGATACTTCGTTTCTTTCTCTTATTTGACATTAAAAAAAAAATACCTCTTTAATTAAACAAAATTTCTGATTTTATTTTTTAAATAATGTATAATTATTTAAAAATTTGTCCTTTTCGTTGGAGTTTCAATGAAAAATTGACAAAAAAATTTATAAAATTTCTTAAAATTTCTATTATTTTGTCTTCTAATTAAAAAAAAAAAACCTTGTCTTGTAATAAAGAAAATAGAAGGATTAAAATAATGTTTGAAGGTTTTTTTTTTTGGTCAATTTTTTAATAAAATCTTAAGAGAATGGACAAAATAAAAATTGTGTAGGTAAAGGGTATTTGTTGTTGTTTTTTTTGGCCAGGTGGAAATTTACAATTTAGTGAGGATATTCAATAAACTTAAATCCCACGTAATAAAAAGGGCTAAATGACAAAATCTCGTTACCTTCGCTTCCCTAACTTCTAATCTTCCATTCTTCACTGAAAAAAGTGAAAATAGATAAAGGACCTTTTTTCTTAAGGAAAAACTAATAATAATAAATAAAAGGTCTCATTCAAATTGAAAATCAAAAACCTGAAAAAAAAAAAAAAATCAAACTCTCTCTTTGATCGAATTTTTCACCGGTTATCACAGCAAGAGCAAGGTCAGTGATTTTTTTTTTTCTCTCTATTCCGTTTTTCTTTCTTTAATTTTTTGTTTTTTTATTTATTAATGACTTGAAGAAATTAATTGAAAAGGTAAAAATTTACTTCTTTTTTTTAATTGCTCTCTCTTTCAAGTTTTGTAATTGTTTGAGTTTATCGAGATTATTGATTTTATTGAAATTGAAAATTATTTATGAAAGTTTTCTTTAATTGGCTAATTTTTTGTTTCATTATTTGTAAGGTCATCAAGTTAAGGAATTATTGTTGAAAACGCAAGTTTTACAGTTTTTTTTTTTATTTTTTTTGGTGTTTGGTTAGTAGTTTTAATTTATAAAATAGTTTGTATCTTTAGCAAAAATAGTGGAGTTTGTTTAATGAAAGATCAAAATTTTTACTTACTAATGTCGAGGATTAATTGTGATTATTAATTAATTAATTAATTAATGTGAATAGAGTATTTGTTTATGTTTTGGTTTATATTAATACAGTTAGCAGTTTGTTTTTATGTGTGATTTGTTTCTGTTTTTAGGCTTGTAGTGTTTGTTTTGATTAAAAATATTTATTTTGGGCTCCGAAGTTTTTGCAATGTTCGATGTTGTCTAAGTGGTTTCTGATTATGAAAATTTAATTTCCTGGCTGTTGCAGGTTTTGGGAATTTGGTTTTTTTTCCAACACAGATAACATGAAGTTCAAGAAAGGAAGTAGAGTTGAGGTTTTGAGGAAAACGGATGAGCCTTCGGGTGCGTGGCAGAGTGGTGAGATTATCTCGGGGAATGGGAAAGAATCTGCTTATTGGGTAAGGTATGATTGTCCTTGGGGATTGAGTAACGAGGATGATTTGGAGCGGGTGTCAAGAAAAGTCATCAGGCCATGCCCTCCTCCTGCTGATGCTTCGGATGGCTGGGCTGCTGGTGATTTGGTGGAGGTGTTCAATGATCTTTCTTGGAAAACAGCTGCAGTTTTGAAGGCTATGAGTGGAGATTACTATCTGGTTAGGCTGGTTGGGTCTTCGACGGAACTTCAACTTAAAAAAGTTAACATCAGGCTGCGCCAATTATGGAAAGATGGTAAATGGATCGGCATTGGAAAGGTAAGTTAATACCTCCCAGTTGTTTCCTGGTTATGTTTTACTTGATCGTGTTTGGCTTCCGTGTTTGTGTCTGTCATCGTTAACCAAGACCTGTGGTTCATGACCTGGTAACAGTTCTTGACCTTGACTGGTGATTGAACTTTTGTCAGCAACACCTTTTAACATGCGCTTTTTATGTCCTATCTGAGTTGACATGTGATTTTTGCACTTCCTATTGTTTTCAGGGTACTGGCAGTTGTGAAAATATGAAGTCCAATAAACCATCAACTTTGAGGAGTTATCAGAAGATGAGGTCTCCAATGCTGCAAGCCAATAGGAAGAGGAAAGTGCAAGAAGGAGACAATTGTTTAGCTGTTGAGAACAACACTGGCTTCCAGGCAACCTGCGCATCCAAGAGAGCATCCCCTTTTTGTCCATCTGAATTTGTAGCATATACCAGAAAGGTTGAAAAAATGAGAGCAATTAAGAAACGCAGTGAGGATCAACGAGGGATATCAGGGTATCCATCCTCATTGCTGAAAAAGGTAGATGCTGTTGCTTACCCACAAGAATGTTTGGGTGAAATATACATGCATGCTTCCTCTAAAAATCAAACAATTGGATCTAATGAAATGGAGAGGGGAACACCAAATTATTTTGTCGACTCTTTTTGTGGAAGAAGAGTGGACCCTAATGATTCCGGTAGTGATGCATGCTCTGTCGGTAGTTGTAGTGTTGCAAGTGGTAGTCCAAGCAATTTATTTGGTCATAATGTAGCAGGTAATAGTCCTGATGCAGATAACCTTAGTAGTGATGCTGAATCCTTTTATGGCATTGAGGATGGAGAAGAAAAATATTCCTTTCCCTTGGGAGAGGATGTAGCAGCAGGAATCCATAGGTTAGAGTTGCATGCATATCGTTGCACTATAGAGGCATTATATGCTTCTGGGCCCTTAAGTTGGGAACAAGAAGCATTGCTTACTAATCTCCGCATTTCTCTTAATATTTCAAATGATGAACATTTGGTGGAGCTAAGAAACTTAATTTCCACCAGAAGAAGCATTCATATCAGTTAATATTTCTTTTTCCCTCATACGTAAAGGTAATTTTTCCTTTTTAGAAGCAGATTCTTTTCATAGTTATCGTTGCCTCACATCATTGTAAGAAGCAGGATGAAATTGTTACATTTTGTAGCTTTATTATACTTGAGTCATGGTGATTTAGCCAGTGAAAATTTGTAATTTGGATTCTTGATACAGTATGATATTTCAAGGCTCGTTTTGATGTTTCGTGTGCTCCTCCTCTCTCTCTCTCTCTTCCATTTTTCCCCTTTCTTTACTCTGAGAAACATGTTACCATTGTATGTACATTTATAGCCATCATAGTGCGATAATAATATCGCCAGCTACCAAGACTGCAAAATTTTTTAGCATCTTTTATGTTTGCATGTAGAACTTTGGATAGCCCGATAACGTTAAAAGATTCTGCCACCACCTGATATAAGATTTGTGAAAAATTGTGCTTCTGCGATTAATGTTCTGGATATGCGGAAAGTTGGCCTGTTCTCTCATTATGCGTGACAGAATGATTCACTGGTTATTTAGTGAAACTTTGGATGATTTGGTTTACAATTTCGTGTTGTGGAAAGTGAATGTGAAACCTGCAATAATATATATATTGCACCATCTGGTCAACGACAGTTATGCTTGTTACTTCTCTTTTTCTTTCCTTTTGGTCACATTTTTGTGAAGTTAAGAGTAGAAAGCAGCTATTCAATGCTCTTGGTGTTGACTGAAGAAATTCCAGTTTTAAGGATGTTATTAACACATCCCATGCATTTTCCAGGGCCACAGTTGGATGCATGCAATGTTGCTTCCAAAGGTCTAAAGATGATGCTGGGGACCTGGGGTTCACCATCATTTTTCTGGCACAATGAGTTTGGTGCAATTTTTGCATCCAGTTCTTTCGAAAATGGCAAATAATGGCCAGGTTCTGACATCATTGTTTCCTCTACTCTGATGCTACAGTCCAATTTCAGGTGTGCGGGAATCATGTAAAGAACTTACACTGGAGGAAGTGAAAGCAGAACTTTGAAATGGCTGCCATGAAATTCTGATATGGAAGGTCATCTCAAACTTTGAGATATAATCATGCATGTGATTTTCTTCTTTTCTTGTTTGATTTGATTTTATTACCCAAGGTTTGTTAAACATATGGACTCGTGGTTAGTTTGGTGGTTTTGTTTTACAGATGCAGTTCTGTTGACTAAATATATTCGTGAGGTTGGCAGATGGTTACTCCTTCTTAAGTATTTGCTAGTGGAAATGGGAGTGATTGATCAGCTGCCAAAATTGGTTATGTGCAAGTCATTTTTTCATAGGAAAGGAGGATCTTACAAATTTGGTATTTTGGATTGTTTGGATATGATGGTTCGAGCATCACATTAAAATGGCAGGGCATACTGAGAAATGATGACCGAGAAGAAGAACGTTAGCCTGGGTTGAAGTGGCAATTTAGGCATTGGAGCCATAATGGGTTGCAGTTACAAGGATTTCATCCTTTAAGGGTGTCCGGAAACTTTATAAAGATAAGTATCTTCCCCTGAATACACTCTCGAAGAAATTTTAGTAGAGTCAATGTTGTTGATTTTATACAATCCGTAGCCATAAAAGTTCCACCCTGGAAGATGGTATCTATTATGGAATGTTTTTCATCTTTTGATTTTTATCTTAACTGGATAGTTCTATCTTCTGACAGGTTTCTAAATATGCAAAATATTACAGTTGAAAAAATTAAGGACAATGACAACTAAGCACGATCTAAAATCAGTTATCTAGTTATTTGCCATTGACAACAAGAATTTATAGAACTTGTGATTCATAATAGCGGATGACTTTTGCTTTTCATTTTGAATTACAGCTCAGATTCAGTAATTTTTGGCAGATTTCTAAATCATGCAAGTTCGAGACAGCATCTCCTATCAGATTCCCCGCTGCTTGTCCCCCTCAATAAAGGTGAACTTCTTGCGGACGATTAATTTGGATAAATTGCACAGATCTCGTCAAAGGTATGTGATTACTTTTTCTATTTTGGTGGATTCGATCAGAAACTTTGTTTAATTGTTAAAGGAAGTTTTATAAGTTGCCAACAAGTTAATGTCTGAAACACAATCACCAAGAATTGAAAATGGAAACAGAAGGGTGAACACCTCAGTGTATTCATGGGTTCCTGCAAACCCCCTAGAAAGCCTCTAACCTGAGCCCAGAACAGCTCCACCAGGAAAGCAACATCTTCAACTATCACGGAGCGGTTGCAGTGACGGATAACAACATCCAAGAAGACCACAATGTGATGAAAAAGAAAAAAGTACCCCAGCTGAAGGTTTCCAGCGTCATCGAGAAGAATTCTTAGCATCACAGACATGGTATTTAAAGCACCAGGGACATCATCATACACAAGCAGATAACAGCTTAGTACAATACACCCTCCAAACTTTCCCTGATGTGATTACATTTGCAGCCAAAAAGTAATAAATTACAAATGCCCTCTTCAGCTTTCAGTCGATAAAAAAAGCTTGACAAAAACCACACCAAATTTGTTCAACTCCAGAAAGCTTTCAACCCTGTAGTTTCCCTTGCCCTCCGATATCTCAATGGACCTCTTCCCTGCTTTTATATTATTTTAATGTAAGATATACCTTAAAATTTGTACTCGTACACTTATGCTGCTACGTTTGTAATAAGATATATATATATATTTTTTTATCGATTTTGACATAAAAGAAAAGAAAAGCTAAAGAGACTACATTGATTGAAACTCAGACTTTGCACTCTTTAACTTATCTCATCGTCCATCTGGAAGAACAAATTTTACTCTGAAATTGCGTGTTTTAGTGGAGTTGTTCTTCTTCAAACAAGATTTTAACCTTTTCTCCTCCTGAAAACTGCTAATATCTAAACCCCCATTGTCATCTTCTGGAAACGGAAAAACAACTTCGGCATCACTCGAAGTGCTTTGTGATGAAAATGAAAATGACGATCTTGACTCTTTTTGGCGATTTTTGTAAGCACAGAATACTGGACAAAACTTGGCTGGGTAAGGTTCCTTTGGAGAATCATCAGAATCTTGTTGAGTCTTGACGTTGAAGTGAGCCTTGCCTAATGATTGTTGACCACGGCTTTGTTGAAGGAATTGCACAATGTTTGAGTCACCTAAATCCGTTAGGAAAATACCATCTTCATCTTCCAACTTGCAATCTACTTTAGCTCGTGCTTGTGATATTGGAGGAGATTGTTTCTCCAGAAGTAGATGGAAGTCTTGTCTTATCTCAACCGAAGACTCTCTTGAGTCCCCTTCTTGAGGAAAATGAATTAATCCATGGTCATTTGCCCACATAACTTCTTGTTCAGCCCATGATCCTGCAGGATAAATTTCGTCATAAAATGGAAGAAAATGATCTTGTTGCTGCATTAGAGAGGCTTGTATCTGAGATTTGCTTGTTTGTAATAAACGATGAACAGTATGGCATGGAACAATGAAGAAGACATTTCCAGGCTTCAAAATGGACTCGGGACAAATCACCATCCAAGGAAATCTGAACACATCTGGACGCGTAATGAAATGTCTTGGATTCTTTTTCATGACTACGGCAGCGGATATTGGATTCTTATGAATCTCAGCAAAGCCTCCAGGATGCACCAGCTTGAGGACTCTACGATTCCTGAAAAATGAACCCATTTCGTAGTATTGCAAGTGTTTGGTTTGGAACAGGGAAAATAGAAGAGAGGACCTTGATATTTATCCCCTAGCTAGCTAGCTTGATTTGTAGTGTTCTTTGCTGACGGACATTTTATTCTTGCCTGGCGATTATTCCTAAGGAGGATCTTAGGAGAACATAGGCTTTTTCATTCTATGATGCTGTTTTGGATTCGTCAACAAGAAACTAGGTAAAGTTGTCTTCAATAGTTGAAACTGCCCTTTTCTATTTGCTTTCACATGTTGCCAACAAGTCTGCCCACCCACTTGCACGTTAAACTTTGGAAATTCCCAACTTCTGTTGGATTGTGAATTTGCTATGGGGAATTTAGATATCTTAAATAGAATCAATCCATTACCTTGCGCATTAATGCAGTCATTGCGCTCAGATTCTTCCATCTTTTGGCAGATTCCTAATCGTTCTCTTGGCTTGAGAGAGCACCTCTGTGTCTGTATGCCATTAGACCTGTGAAGAGAATTTTAAGGGTAGAGGACGCTTTGCCAGCCAGACAGTTCTTGCCAAGAGATGAAGGCCAAGATGAGAGACTAACATCTCCTTTGTTGTGAAAATGATGGTGATGGAGATTGCTGTCATTAAGCTTACTGTATTTTTGGCAGTGACCATCTTTACATTTGCAAGACAGTGCATCATGATTCTAATGACTTATCTGCGAGATGGGAATTCGTGTGAAATTTCAGTTTTGATAGGCGAGACAAAACTGCCGACACAATGCCATATATTTCAAGGGAATATGTATCGGAAATAAAGGGAATATATATACATCCAAACCAAAGCTTGCCAAGTGACTTTCATCATTGCATATTCTTAGCAGGCTAGACCTAATAGTGTACATTCACAGTACATTCGAAGCTCAATTATAGTGCAGCCTCAATGCAGATCAAACAAGAAGGATGTAATAAGATAAAGTAGCAATTACATGCAACCACATGTATCAAAGCAGAAACAGCTCGCTTCATATTCATTTGAAAGCGCGGTCACAAAACATCCAGAACCAATTTTAGCAGAGCACCAGGTTGTGTAGCTTAGCGTAGTAGTTTCATAGAATGAAAGTGAGGCCACACCTTGGCTTTAAATTCCAGGGGACAAAAGGAAACCACATCATATGCAGCCCCACCAGAAAAACCATAATTATAACAAATAATATCAGCACGATGCTAGCAAATCAAGGATATAGCGCAACACTAATAGCATCCTACAGACATCAATAAGTAGCATAAAACTGTAGTAGGAAGGATGGAATAAACAAAGAAAGACACCCCCCACCCACCCACCCACCCCTGCGCAAAATCATGAAATGAGCAACTCAAAACAAACAGGTCAGTAATTGACCTGAAATCATTAAGTTTATATTCATACATGTCAAAGGGCATAAATCCATATCGTCAAAACCATATAATCAAAGCCTCTTACACCAACAATGACAATGCCTCTTCAATTCTTTACTCAAATGCGTCGTCGTCGTCATCTGGAAGAGGTTGACTTGCTGCAGCAGCAAGTTCTGCCTCATGGCTGTTGAAATAACCAGCAGCAAAAACAAAGGTTAAATACAAAACTGATGAAGTGTAACTGATAGGATAGAAACAGGACAAAAAAAAGGAAACGGACATAAGCTATATCAATTGTTCATAGAAAAGAACCAAACAGCCCTCTTTTATACAAAAACACACTAAAAGTGAGAGGGAACAACAAATACTTTAGTATAAGTTCATGTTTGTTTAAACTGAAAAACTCTAATCATTAATGTTTTTCTTTTTTTTTTTTTTGCTCTGTATAAACAATGCACATAACATACATGCAGATTTGTAAACATCCATGGAGTAAAGATAGCAACAGACAGATGGAGGAGAGCTAAGCTTAAATGACATGAAACACTTACTGTGCCTGTGCTGCCAGATCAATTTGAACTTCCGGGGGAGCCAGGGCTGGAGACTCAACAAAATGCAAATTGGGATCCCTGCAGTTGTGAAACCATTTCAGATAGGTATTAGATTCTGATTGGTATGGTCAAGAGAACTCATAAAAGGGTGAGGCATTTGAGTTTAAAAAACAATTATTCTTTACCCAGCAAGCTTTCTGGCAAGGTACAAGAACGGCTTCTCGAAATTGTAGTTGCTCTTCGCCGAAATTTCATAGTACTGCAAGTTCTTCTTACGGTGGAAGGTGACCTGCTTGGCCTTCACCTGCCTGTTCTTCACATCAACCTTGTTTCCGCAAAGCACAATAGGAATGTTTTCACAAACCCTGAAGAGGCAACACATAGTGATCAAAATAATGGTTTCAATCAGCTTGACAAAAAGAATTGAATTAAATCTAGATCAGAAAAAAAGAACTCAAAAACACACCTGCACAAATCTCTATGCCATGTAGGGACATTCTTGTATGTCAACCGAGCAGTAACATCAAACATGATGATAGCACAATTACCATGGATGCTGCACCAAAAGCACAATTGTCACACAGTTAGTCACTTCAAGATACCAATAAAGAAAATTACAGATATCATCACAATTTCCATGGAATAAAATAGGACAACGGTACAAACAAAAAAGGTTTGCTAAAATCCAGAATACACCTTAAAGATGTATAAACTAATCCATCAATATGTGCTTAAAAGGAGGTTCAACAAAAAAATTCACGATACAACATTGATCAAACTCCTCTAAACAGATGTTATTCAGACACTCAAACAGAGAAGTGAAACTAAGACATCAGTCAAAAATCTGCGACACCAACTGAGATATAACATGAACTAATAGCCTTGGCAGACCAATTCCCCATCAAAATGAAATTAATCAAAGAAATCCTTTGCATTTTCATCTTTTTCATAAGTTAACATCTCACAACTAGCACATAAGATTACACATAGGATAATAAGATAAAAACTTCCAACAAAGAACTAAATCATCCTCATTGCATAAAACCCATTGGACAATATTAACGAGCAAGTTGACATGATGTATGACATACCACTAAGCAACTGAGATAATTTGTTTAAACCTTAACCAACAGAATAAAAACATGATTAACACACAACAATACGAATTTGTTCCAAAAATCCATGATTAAAACGAACAAAACAGCTAATCACTTACTAGTATCCATCTCTAAGACCACCAAACTTCTCTTGACCAGCTGTATCCCAGCAATAGAATCTAATTTTGCCACAATTAGTGAAAAAATCCAAGGGGTGAACTTCCACACCAATGGTTGCTGTATTGACAAAAAACAAATCAATCAATCAGTAAACCACATCCACGATATATAATACAAACTAAAACATTAGATTATATGACAATAACAAACAAAATATTATCGAACTTACGCTCATATTTCTTCTCAAACTCTCCAGTAAGATGCCTCTTAACGAATGTGGTTTTCCCTACAATTCACAGCCACCAGAAGCCACAAGTTCAAAAAAAGAATTAAAAAAATAAACCATTTTCACAAATAAATAATCTCAAACCTCCATCTAGTCAAATACCCAGAAGTTAACAATCAAAAGCCATGTTTTATATCAAGAAAATCAAAACCCCAAATCACAAACAACAGTAAAAATCAGTCTTTTTATAAAATAAAAAATAAATAAATAAAGGCGAACTTATTTTTTAAAATAAAAATCAAAACTCCAAATGCGGAAAAAAAAACGACAAATCAACACAAACCGCAACCAAACTCCATATCAAAAACCCGAAAATTTAACTAGAAGACCAACACAGATTTAACGAACAGATCCTCGATGGAAAAAATAAATATACCTGTACCACCATCACCAACAATTACAAGCTTGAAGCTTGGATAATCAACAGTTTGCTGATTTGGCAATGCCTAAAATTAACACACAAAAAAAAACCCAATAAAAAATATCAGTAAAAAAAAAAAAAACAATATTGCAATACAGATCGAATTGAAGAAATTGAATTTAAATTCAAACATGAAAAAGAACTCACCATTGTGTTAACTTTTGAAAACAGCAAAAATCGAGAGAGGGGGGCAGAAGGAAAGGGATGCGTAAGTTTTTTCTTCGAAGGGTATAAAGAGAGGTTTTAAGGAGATCTTGTGCGGTGAGGTACAGATGTTTGGCGGATCTGGAACGTTGGTTACTGTGAGCTTTGTCACATGGAGGGTGGAGATTTATATAATAAACGGCGTGTGCGTAGAAGCTGCGAGGGTTTCGAATTTCAAACTGGTCCAGTGGCTTAAATCCGACGCACGAATCTAGATCGTCTGATTTTGGGGATATTGTCGTGTATTGGATGAAGATGAACAGGTCGGGTTTTAAATTCATTGGGCCGATTTGCGTTTACGTGAGTAAATTATAAATCACTCCCTTTAGTTTCTAGAAACTAATTAATTAGTCTCTTTTTTTTTTCAAAAACTGATTATTTAGTATCTATATGTTTTATTTTTATCGTAACTTCATATTTTTCTCTCTTTTTTAATTTAAAAAATAGATAAGGAAAATATAAGTAAACAATATAGGATGATTGATGAGAAGATATGATATTTTATGAAATAAAATAATATTAAATTAAGTATTATCAACAATAATTAATGGATTAAATAGTTAATTTTTTAAAAAAAGACTAATTAGTTAGATTCTAAAAAATATAAAGACTAATTTATAATTTATTTTGGCCTAGAAACATATAGATAGTCTTGAAAAAGGAAAATCATACTAGGACTAGTATATTCTTGGACTAAAGTGGGATAAAGATTTTTTTTTATTATATATATTGTATGTTGAATAAATAAAGGTTAATGGAATAATAGTTATTCATATGCTCGGTGTCCATATATCAACATTAACATGTTGGCTAAAATATCTAAAAGGATAATAAAAGAACCAAGAGGTTCACCTAAATTGGATTTGTAAGACTCCTTGTCTCTTCTCATCTCTCCATGAAAGTTTAGGGTTGCTAAGACCCTATGTGTTTGAAGTGGCAATTTAGCCTCTTGATTTTTTGCAATGGCTTAATCGATTCCTAAATCATTATCGATATGCAACTCCACATGATTTATAGTTTATTATTCAAGGCTTAACATATATATATATATATATATATATATATAATTGAGATGTTATGTGTATAAGTATTTGCATGATACATGAGTAATAAATAATTGAGAAATTTTACATAAGAACTATTACTCTAATTCTATAAGATATTAAAAAGACTACACAAGTAGACCGAGTCTAGCGAGTTATTTACCCAATTAGTTTTTTTAGTAAAGCAAGGTTTGAGTTCTAGTAATTCTAACTTTCTTCATCGATTATGGAATAGGAGAGGATTGTTCCTCATTATGTAGCCCCAAAACCTATAAGCTTGCGATTAGAAAAACAAAAACACTAGTGGTTCGCTATAAAATGACTTTGGCATATGGTTTAAAACACAAAAATGAATTTGTAGCATCCTTATTTTATCATATGAGATAGAAAACAATCCCATTAATTTAAGTTGGATTAACATAGCTCAAGCTATATTTGCAACTATATTACGAGAGTTTTGATTTTAATAGTAACTTTCTACCTCTATCAATTTTATTTTATTAATTTTTAGTTTAACAAGAGGTCTAATGGACTTTGAGTTATACTATACAAAGTAGTTTTCTCTAGTAAAAAAATATTACAAGAGTTTTAGTGAATTAATATGACCGAGTGGTTCAAAAAGAGACCACTTTGAGCAATTAATCTCTCTCTTATTTACTATTTGCTTAATGTAACTTTGATTTTTGTTTTTTCATTAATTTTTTTTTAATACAAACAAACTAAAAAACATGATAATGAACAATGAAAATATAGCTAAATGAATTATGTATTTGCATTTGACAACTACTATAAATAGCTAATCATTTTTTTTTAGAATATTCACCACATATTGGTCATTCAAAAGCAAATAACCTATCATAAAAAAATAAAAATAAAAGATTTATATAAAAAAAAAAACTTTATTGTTGACTTATTTTTTATAGGTTGAGCTAAAAACAACAATCAAACTCTATTTGATCATGTTGAAGTGAAGCAAAACCACACTTTTAAGGTTCAATGTTTCGCGTCACTTTTAAGCCAAATGTAAATCGCCTATAACACACCCCATCAACTTCTTTAATCATTTTCGTCCAATACACGAGTCCATAACCACCAACGTCCTAGATCTTTCCACTCTTTATTGCTAGGATCTCTCACGTTGCTTAAAGCTCATCTTTATAAACTCCTATAACTCTCACTAGAAGCCTTTCAAAATTCAAATCCCAAGTAGGAGTAGCTTTCTCTCTTTTAATTCAAAATCTTAAAATTAGATGGTAAGCAAAAATATTTCTTCAATTAAATCTCGATATTGCAATAAGCCCAAGATTAAATTTTATTTTCTTTTTAATAATTTTGTTTTAATGTTTTTGTTAATTGATATAGCCACTTGTCGAATTAGCAAATTGTTGACTATCCAAGCTTCAAGCTTATGATTGTTGGTAGATGTGATACGTGTATGTTTATCTCTTTTTGAGATTCTATTTTGATTAAATCTGTCATGCTTTTTTAATATTTTTGAATTTTTTATCTGAATTTTATGATTTTATTGATTTTTAGTGTTGTTTAAATTTCAAGTTTTTATATTTTTTTCTTAAGAAAACATGGGTTTTAGTTTTCAACTATTTATTTATGAAAAGAGGATTTGGGGTTTTGATTTTTGGCATGTAGATATTTGAAAAATGGAGGGAAAAATAAATGTTTATTTTATGGGAACAATTTTACGATTTTGATTTTTGGAATTGTTTTGGATTTAGGGTGTTGATCTTTTATTTTATTTTTAATTAAAACTCGGTTTTGATGTTTGGCTTATGGGTGTTGGCATAATGTAGGCAAAACAACATGTGTGAAAAAGACATCTTACTTGGCGAGTTTAAGAAGAAATATGACCATAAGTTTTTTCAACTTTTTTGTTGTTTTTATTGAATCTTTTATGTTTGTCTTAGTTGGTCTTGCAATATAGAAGTTATTAATTATTTATTTATTAATGAATTCAAAAATTATTGGTGTGGAAGTTCATCCTATGGATTTCTTCACCAACTTGGCAAAATTAGATTTTATTATTAAGATACAGATGGTTATGAGAAGTTTAGTGATCTCCGAAATGGATATTAATAATTATTGGTGGCTACTATTTATATCAAAGATGGTTTTTCATACAAATTTTACTTATATTGTTTTAGATCAAGTCTTGATATATTCATTTGCTTAGTTTTAGAGTCAATTAGCATGTGAATTGTTTAATGATAGATATGTCCGAGTGTTTTAAGGATTCATCTTGAAGGTGGTTTTTGAATTTTAGCCAAACTTTCTCGACATTGTCTTATTTTATTTCTATATTGCCTTTGTACAAAAGAGATTTCAAGTGATTTGCGGAATGAAATGTTTTTTGTATCCTATATGGCATCCATAGAAATTATGTTATCATCATGTTTGATGTTATTTCTCGATTGACCTATAAGAATGTCCCTATATAGCATCGAGATCTTTACAATTGTGTTTTGAGTTTTATTTTCCGATCTATTTAATTCAATTCTTTTTTTCAAGCTAATTTAAACTCGATCACTTTGTGTTGCCTTTTCGAGTTTATGAAATATTGTGCTTTGCATAAATAAGGTTGGTGTGAAGAACGAGCAAGTGAAGGTCAAGCAAGTCACTTTCCATTGCAAAAAGAAATTACGAGATCGTGAAATTTCGATTAAGAGCAACTATAATTTCGAGAAGTTATTCTCGTACATTACCCGAAAGCTTACTAGGTAAAGGATTACTATTTTTTAAACTCAAATGCCTTACCCTTTTATGATTTCTCTTGACCATATTAACAAAAATATAATACCTATTTGAGATGATTTTATGATTGCGGGGATCCCAATTTACATTTTGTTGAGTCTTTAGCCTTGGCTCCCTCAAAAGTTCAAATTGATCCGATAGCGCAAGCACATTAAGTATTTTGTGTTGTTTTTAACATTAACGCTCTTTCTTCTATCCATTCCTTTTTCTCCCTTTAATATATGTAAAGGTATAGGCATGCCTACAAATGCTACACCACATGAAAATATTAGTATGATGACTTAATTATTAAAAAAAAACTCAAATTAACTCTAGAGTCGCTTTTTTTCTATATCGCTAATTCTCTTGTTCCGTTGGTGTTGAAGCAACTCTATCAAGCCTTTTTTCTCGTTACTTTTTTTATTAGTTTCTTTAACCATTTTACTATTAGTATTTTTGATAAGCACAAGGTCGAGCTTGCCACTATAGCTAGTCAACCACTTTCAAATGATGCTAATGATGCATTTAAGTAAAGCATTGATAGAAGTTTTAGGTTTTGTGGTTTTCGGAGAGAGAGGCTTTAATTAGTATATGGTGTTGAGGATACGGATTTATGTCTTTTAATATGTATGAGTGTAAACTCGAATGGTTTTTGGTTATTATTGACTCGTTTGTTATCTATTTTTTGTTTCTTCATTTTGTCGAGGTTGCCTTACTTTTTTATTCTTCTTTTTTATACCTACACTTTTGAGTCAATTTTTGTAGAATTTTATTAGTGTTGGTTTATATCTTAATCGACCAATGTTGTATTGTTCACTTTTTATGTTATTCTTAATTAATTGTATACGAGGTGATGGTTTGATGGTTTTTTAGGCTTTATAAGGTTTTTGTACATTTATTAGCGAGAAGAAAGAATTTGATAAATGCTTGGATGGGTCGAATAGATTAGTGGTCTACAACTAATACAATTATCATCTTAGTTTCATTATGTTTAATCATCTAGTACCATGAAATTAGTTATGATATCCGTAACTAGGGTTCCATTCTTAAATAATAGTTATTCGATTGAAAACCACGTGAGATACTAATGCTTGATAGAGCTCATCTCTTCGATGCCAATCGGTTTAATTGCTCGAAAGGCTCGATGATATAGGTGAA